TTCTTGTCTTGCTCGATCTCAGTGCTGCATTTGATACTATCGACCATGATAGTATTCGGGGGCTGGGAACAAACGTGACGTGACGTGATTCAAGATGGTGCCTGTGTCGGCTCGCCGCTCGCTCAGCTCTCTACCTTTAGCTATCCTGTTTTTGTTTTATGTTTGTCAGAATGTCTCTGCTCTGCTCGTTTATGATCGCCAAGCTCTCCTCCACCTCAGACCCTCACTGGAGTTGATATTGCTGCCCAAACCTACATCTGGCAACCATAAATCGTCCCCCCCCCCTCTACTGTCGGATATTCCCACCTACCTGCGCCGGTCACACTGCATCCTGCCTCGCCGAAAGCGCTTTCGACGACGGGGAAAGCGTGGTGGTGCACTGGTCCATCTTAAGGCATACCTGACGGCTTCTTCTGTGAATTATCCACGCCTCGGATGTCATGGCCCTCCCGCTGCACGCCATGTGAGGGATCGGTGGATTCGCCCCGTGTTTCCGGAGCTGCGGACTCTGATGGGCCCGCTGGCAGCTCCTCCTGCCCGACTGACTGCTCCCGGCCCGCGCGGCGTTCAACACGCACATCTTCGTCAGCTGAGACGCACTACACCTTCGGCAAGCCCGGAGCGAAAACTTTGCATGGCTTTGCTAAATGCTAGGTCGATAGCAAACAAAACGTTCCTGCTAAACGACTTCTTCACCTCTCGTGAACTGGATTTTATGTTCCTGACGGAGACCTGGGTCCACGCTGGCGAGTATACACCGTTCTCTGAACTTCTTCCTCCTGACTGTACATTCTTCAGCTCCCCCCGTGCCACTGGCCATGGTGGGGGCATAGCATCAGTGTTTAGAGCTAGCCTCCAATGCCGATTGCTTCACCCTGTAACTAGCTATGCTAGCTTTGAGTTGCAGCTTTTTGAACTGAACCCGGCCTCGCCTATACTCTGCGCAGTCGTGTATCGTCCGCCAAAGTGTAATAAGGATTTCATAAATGACTTTTCTGACTTTCTGTCCGGGATCATGGTGAAATATGATCGTGTTTTGATCTCCGGAGACTTCAATGTCCATGTGTGTTGCGAGTCCAAACCTCTGGTTAGGGACTTTTTAAATCTCCTTGATTCTTTTGGTCTCGTTCAGTCCGTGGCTGGCCCAACACACGAAAAAGGACACACTTTGGACTTAGTATTATCGTTTGGACTGTCTGTATCTGTGGATGAAATATGTGCAGCAACGCGTATCTCAGACCATTTACCGGTTCTGTTTACAACCTCCATCCCTTCCGCAGGAGTCGAATCACGTGCCCCGGCGCGTCGTCTGCGTTCGATTAACCCCTTGACTGCCTCACAGTTCTCTGATGTTTTTAATGCTTCTCCGATCTGTAAATTAGATGTGAACTGTGCTTTTAATGCTGATGAGCTTATCTCCATGTTTGACTCGACATGCACACTAATACTGGATTATGTTGCTCCTTTTACGCTTAGACGCACCAAAGTTCTATCAGAGCCGTGGCTCAATGACTGTACTCGTGCTCTCAGACGTGCTTGCAGGCGTGCAGAGAGAAAATGGAAAAAGGATAAACTCCATGTCTCCCTAGAAATCCTTCGTGCTTGCCTTTCTGACTACCAGACGGCAGTCAAAGCAGCCAAAACACAGCACATTTCTCTGTTAATCTCCAAAAACAGCCATAAACCTCAGGTTCTTTTTAATGTCCTCAACTCTATCATTAATCCCTGTGATGTTTCTTCTATTGTCCCATCGACTACTCTCTGTGATAAGTTTCTTACATTTTTTATTGAAAAGGTATCTGTACATACTGCCCCTAGGTTCAATTCTCACAAAACATAACATTCCCTTCCACTGCTACGCCGACGATGTACAGATCTATCTGCCTCTCAAAGCAAATGTCAAACACTCACTACAGCAGCTGATGGACTGCTTAGCAGAGATAAAATCCTGGCTGAGCAAAAACTTTCTCAACCTCAACGAGAGCAAGACTGAGGTCATCTTTTTTGGACCGCAACCTCCAGCCTCTCCGGTTGATATTCTGGGCTCTATCAAAAAAAACATGAACCTTGGAGTGACCTTCACTAGCACTTTTAAATTCGACAAGCAGGTCAGCACCGTAGTAAAATCCTGCTTTTTTAAAATAAGACTATTGGCCAAAACCAAGTCGTATTTATCTTTTAATGACTTAGAAAGGGTTATTAACGCCTTTGTAACCTCAAGACTGGACTATTGTAACGCTCTGTATGTGGGTATGGACCAGGCCTCAATTAAACGCCTACAGCTAGTCCAAAACGCTGCTGCACGTTTGCTGACTGGCCACAAAAAGCGTGACCACATCACCCCTATTCTGGCCTCACTACACTGGCTTCCAGTTCGGTTCAGAATTGATTTTAAAATCCTTTTATTTGTTTTTAAAGCACTAAATGGGCTGGCTCCGGCCTATATAGCTGAACTGCTCCAGCGCTACACCCCAGCCAGAGCTTTAAGGTCTGCTGACCAGCTGCTGCTGGTAGTGCCCAAGACCAGGCTAAAAACCCGAGGGCACCGAGCCTTCGCAGCAGCTGGCCCTAGGCTCTGGAACACTCTGCCCCTCCATGTGAAGTCGGCCCAGACCCTAGGGGTTTTTAAATCTAAACTAAAAACACACTTCTTCTCTCTGGCTTTCTAGTTAGAGCGGAGCACGACTCCTGACTCCCGTGTGTTTTATTTTTATTTTGTTTTTAAGATATATCTGTTGTAATTTATTGTCGTTTATTGTGATTGTAGTAATGTGTTTTTATTACATGTACAGCACTTTGGCTCGACCAAAAATCGCTTTTAAATGTGCTATATAAATAAAACCTGATTTGATTTGATTTGATTTGATATCTTATTGCAAAGACTAGAGCACTTAGTTGGCATACAGGGAACTGCTTTAGGCTGGTTTAGGTCCTATCTATCTGAACGCTCTCAGTTTGTATGTGTCAACGATGAATCTTCCATGCAAAGTTAGCCATGGAGTGCCACAGGGCTCAGTGCTTGGACCTATTTTGTTCACACTATATATGCTTCCGTTAGGCAATATTATAAGGAATCATTGTGTACATTTTCATTCTTATGCGGATGATACTCAACTATATTTATCTATCAAGCCTGATGAAATTAATCATCTAAATAAAATTCAAGACTGCCTCAAGGACTTAAAAACGTGGATGACCTTAAACTTTTTGATGTTAAACACGGCCAAAACTGAAGTTATTGTACTCGGCCCAAAGAATCTACGAAACAAATTATCTAAAGATATACTAACTATGGATGGCATTAATTTGGCCTCCAGTGAGACTGTAAGGAATCTTGGTGTTATATTTGATCAGGATTTATCCTTTAACGCCCACATAAAATCAATTTCAAGGACCGCCTTCTTTCATCTACGTAACATTGCAAAAATCAGGCATATCTTGCCTCAAAACGATGCAGAGAAACTAGTCCATGCATTTGTTACTTCAAGGCTGGATTATTGTAACTCTTTATTATCAGGGTGTACCAAGAAGTCAGTTAAGTCGCTTCAGCTGATTCAAAATGCTGCAGCTCGTGTATTAACCAGAGTTAGGAAAAGGGACCACATTACTCCTGTTCTGGCTGCCTTACACTGGCTCCCTATAGAACACAGGATAGAATTTAAAATTCTTCTTCTCGCCTACAAAGCCCTTAATGGGCAGGCGCCATCTTACCTTAAAGAACTCATTATACCCTACTGTCCTACTAGGGCATTGCGTTCCAAGAATGCAGGGTTGTTGGTTGTTCCTAGAGTCTCTAAAAGTACAATGGGAGCCAGAGCCTTTTCTTATCAAGCTCCACTTTTGTGGAATCAGCCTCCAGTTTGTGTTCGGGCGGCAGACACCCTATCCGTTTTTAAGAGTGCGCTTAAGACCTTCCTTTTTGATAAAGCTTATAGTTAGGGCTGATTAGATTCAGCCCCTAGTTTTGCTGCTATAGGCTTAGACTGTCGGGGGACACCTTACTTCTTCCTTCTCTCTGTCTGTACCTGTGTACTCATGTTCCCAATAACCCAGCTTCCCCAAATTTCTTTTTGGTGTCTATATACGTCGGGATCCTGAGTCGTGGCTGATCCTGTTGCTGTGGTCCTGAGTCCTGGATCGCGAGCCCTGGATCCTGAGTCGTGGCTGAACCTGTTGCTGTGGTCCTGAGTCCTGGATCCTGAGTCTTGGATCCTGAGTCGTGGCTGATCCTGTTGCTGTGGTCCTGAGTCCTGGATCGCGAGCCCTGGATCCTGAGTCGTGGCTGATCCTGTTGCTGTGGTCCTGAGTCCTGGATCTTGAGTCGTGGCTGTGCCTATTGCTGTGGTCCTGCATCATAAGTCCTGGATGGATATCCTCGTGGATTCATCTTCTTATTATAGACATGCATTTCCAAACATTTGGTCTACCTATGTTGCAAATGTATTATTTTTTCAATTTACACACGGCATCTATTGCACGTCTGTCCGTCCTGGGAGAGGGATCCCTCCTCTGTTGCTCTCCCTGAGGTTTCTCACATGTTCCTTTAAACTGTGGGGGTTTCTCCGGAAGTGTTTCCTTGTACGATGTGAGGGTCTAAGGACAGAGGGTGTCGTATTGTCATACTGATATTCTGTACAAACTGTGAAGTCCACTGAGACAAATGTAACATTTGTGATATTGGGCTATATAAATAAACATTTATTGATTGATATTGAGAAGCCTCTCGAGCCATGACAAACACAACCTTCAGTTTACATGACTAGAGAACCAATGGCTGCTGCTTTCTGACGATGCAGCAATCATTACATGAGCGGCACTGCAGCAAAAGGAAACTAAAGATCTTAGTAATAAGGTAAGTAAGCTTCTCAGAAGTGTTTTTAACGCTTATTAATGTTGTCTTTACTTTAATCATCTTTTATCTATTTTTTTCCACAGTGAGGAAACATATAACGTGCTGATCAGATTATATGTTTAACAGATTTTCAGGAAATCAAACAGCATAAGATTGGAAAATGGCAGCTTTAATTGGCAAATAGGTAGGAACTCAACAACACTTTAAACAAGTTCAAATGTTACTGTATGAAAGCCAGCATATATAGACAGAATATATTGTCACTGAATGGATACAAAAAAATGATCCATTCGTGCAACCATAAAACTGCTTCAAAATAGCAATATAAAACATATTCAAACCACATGCATTTGAATGAAAAGTACTTCATATAGACAGTGTTGATGGCAAGTAGTGGTAAACAGACGTAATAGGGAATTAGTATTTATAAGATAGTGCAGTATTGTCTGAATTGCAGTTAGAGAGAAGAGGAAAAGACTCATAGTGCTTTCTCTTTTACAGAAGTGCTTATCCATGTTGTGTATGCACCCCCATCACTAGCTACACTCCTTCATGAGTGCAGACCCTTGTGGAGCTTTTCAGGGCCACAGGAGAGAGTCCTGTAGAGTTTAGAGAGTCCTGTAGATAGAGTTTAGAGAGTCCTGTAGAGTTTAGAGAGTCCTGTAGAGTTTAGAGGCAGTAGGGCCACAGGAGAGTCCTGTAGAGTTTAGAGAGTCCTGTAGAGTTTAGAGGCAGCAGGGCCACAGGAGAGTCCTGTAGAGTTTAGAGGCAGTAGGGCCACAGGAGAGAGTCCTGTAGAGTTTAGAGAGTCCTGTAGAGTTTAGAGGCAGCAGGGCCACAGGAGAGTCCTGTAGAGTTTAGAGGCAGTAGGGCCACAGGAGAGAGTCCTGTAGAGTTTAGAGAGTCCTGTAGAGTTTAGAGGCAGCAGGGCCACAGGAGAGTCCTGTAGAGTTTAGAGGCAGCAGGGCCACAGGAGAGAGTCCTGTAGAGTTTAGAGGCAGTAGGGCCACAGGAGCTGCTGCACAGCTTCCTGGTGATTAGGTTAAGATCTTGAACGCTCCGCCATCGAGGGGGGACACCATGAGCCGGGCCGAGCCGGGGGAGTGGAGGGGCCGCCACATGTTCCTCCAGATGACGGTGATGAGGCGGGAGATCAGCAGCACACAGGCCAACACCAGCAGAACCACTGATGGACACACAAGGGAACAAAAGGACAGTCAGTGATTGGGTTTAAAGAGAATGCGACATGCCAATATAATTGATATGTCACTAGGATGCATTCTGAGATAATAGTGATTTTGGTCAATTTTAAACAAAAAAATGTTTGGCTTTGAGAATACAAAAGTCTTATCGCCATATTCAGACGATAAACTATTGTTGGTTTTTAATGACAACTTCAGTGATCATTGTCTCCTCGCACTCTGATCAGCTCCACTCTCCCTCTCTCCCTCCCTCCCTCCCTCCACCTCCCTGAGATAATGATTGACAGGCTGATAGTAACATGGCAGGCAGGCTCAGAGACAGAATTGTTTTGTCTGATTATAAATAAAACCAAATAATTGGCTTTCAGTAGGGATGCTCCGATCGCCAATTTTGGGGCCGATCGCCGGAATCAGTATCGGCCGATACCGATCCGATCGAGTGGGCGGGGCCTATGGGGATCTTCCATTTAAAGTGATGTTTAAAACTCAGTTAATGGGGCTACTCACTGGCGCTTCCACAAACAACAACCAACATAATTATTACATTCAAATGAAGTACATTATTCAAGTTTACATTAACTTTGGATAATAACACGGGAGAAATGAGCGGAAGCGCTCTGTGTGGAGTCTATTTTTATATAACATTAGAAAGACTGATTCTTATTATTACATTATAAGCTTATTGTGATCATTTTATGTTGATGAAACTTTGGAATAAATAGACAAAATCACCAATCCCAAGGTTTGATGGATTGGATAGGAAACGAAGGGAAAAGTCACATAAGAAAGTTTTAGCCTGCAATAACAGAGTCAAGAGGCAAGGTCAGGTGCAGACACTGGAAGAATACAAAGAGTTATTCATAAACAGGACATCGCTCCGGCCTCGAGTTGTATGGGAGCTTCGCTCCCACGCATAGCTAGGAAGCAGCATTATGAAGATTCCACTTTTTCTGTAGAAACTTTAGCAAAAACAAATGACTAGAATAGAGACAGAGTAGGGAGGGACTTCGCCAGCCGGCCGAAGGTTGATTGGAGGATCGTGTTGCCAAGAGACTTTTTTCTAAGTCTGTGCACCTACCAAAGAGAACCAAGTCTAAACCATGGTATCTCTTCATCTAGTCTTGACCAATCATAAATGTACGGGCAACACCCTGTGTAATAAAAATGTATTGTCGCACGAGGTTCAAGGCTCTTTCCGGAAATAGTGGTTACAGATTACAGCTTTGCTGCCTGAGATTTCTATGACGTGACGGAGTCCTTGGCCAAGTTATCTTTTGCTCTCTTATAATAAATAGTTAACCTGTTAAGCCGATACCGGGGGGAAAAACGCTTCATCTGAGGAAACAGTGTCTGAGGGCATCTTAATATTTAATAAACTATGAATGTTTTATATCCATGTAACGGGAAAAAACTCATCTAACTGATCATTTTAATTTGTTTTTCAAAAAAAACAACACAATGCTAACGCTGAGCCTCTGAATTAGCAACGAGCGAAACATGCTAACAGATTACTGCACCGAAATTCACTCACAAAACCTTATTATTTATCTTTTCTGCACATCCATGACATCGTTTCACATCGTGAGGTGACACAGAATCGATGGGTGCATACATTATCACTGACGGGTAATAATGGGTTATGACGGAAATTTTTCGATCCTGTCTGTCAAAATGACGGACAGCGATTAAGTCTAACGCCACCTCATTGGGACAGAGAGATATGCTTTGGCCATGGGTGACAGCAGTGGGTAAAACTGTGCATTGTCTCTCCACCACTTCAAAAACAATACCGTTTTTGCCAAGAAGGTGAGGCTTATTGACAGGGCGAGATATAAATATACTGTTGGTACTTGTCAATGTCACTAGGTATGTAAATGTAGCCCTGTAAATACGATGTCCTTTTGTGTTATTTATGTTCATGTTGTAACCTACTTGCTGCCATGTTGGACAGGTCACAGAGAAAAGTGTAATGTATTTTATGTCATGTGATCGGCTCTCACGATCGGCCTTTATAAAGAGCACCGATCGATCGGCAGAGAGTGAATATCGGCCGATATCGATCGGCGGTCGATCGATCGGAGCATCCCTAGCTTTCAGAATATTGAAATATTATTGTCGAATTCAGATGACGAATACAACGTTGAAGCTTGTAAGATGACCAGCGCTGTTATGTGTCTTTTTAGGCACCCACACACACTCACCAATATTGTTCCGCCCGACCCTCCCTTATCCAAGTTAAAAAGCTTGGCTTAATACAAGTAAGCATCATTATACCATAGATGGCTCTCATGAACAATAAGCTGCTGATTGTTGTTTGTGTGAAACAAAGATTTCAGAATCATCGCTAATCCAGCGGTGGTGCTTAGGTCCGAAGGGAGGGGGTTAAAATAACTTTGAAAAGAAAAATAGCTGCAAACTTTGAGGGCCTTCTTCTCAGAATCGTGTTTAGTCGTTACCTTATTTTAAATATCTTTCCAATAGGACCATAAGGATATCATTAGAATCCCTCTTGCCAACAGTGAGTCGATATGACTGTTTTTGAGGGAGCAGGTCACATCATGTTATCCGACACTTCATCAGCTGCAAACACAATACATTGATACAGTGTGTGTGGATAAGCACTTTATTCAATAGTGTCTGTTCTGTTCAGATTCACCTATCAGAAGGTCATAGTTCAGTTCCCAGCAGCTGCAGTACACATGTTGATGTGACTTGTGTGTATGGCAGCCTCTACCTCTGTATGAATGTGTGTGTGGGTGAATACTGACTTCTTTGCGTAAAAGCACTTTAAGGGTCGTAAACAGCACTACATACATGCAGTCCATTTATCTTTTCATCCACAGATTTATATATAAATATCCATATATTCACCGCAGAAAGAAGGGGCTGGTTATTATGGTAAACTCACCCATGAACACAGAGTTTGGAGTGGGATCATCGGGGTTAAAATGTTTGAAGACGTTTCCGACCAGAGCCAAGATCACCACCGGGTAAACCGTCAGGATGTTACGCACCCAGCGGTCCAGCAGCCAGTTCTCCATCAGGAACCTACACACACACACAATCATGAAACATACCAAATGTAAAAACTAAACAAACAGAGCATCTAGTGTTTGTTGTAAAGGATCAGATGTTATCTCTTCTCTTAGAGCTGTACTGTTCTGTAGCTAATACTTTAAGTGTGAATCTATACGCCTACTGTAATAGAACAATATTATACTCACTTACTTTAATAATATCATTGTGTGATTCTTATTTGCTAATGTTTATCTATATTTACTACTTTCACTTCTTAGCTAAGCTTGGGAAAATTCCTTATTAAGATTTGTTGCAATGTTGTTAGTTTCACTCTATGTGCACCAACAGTATGACCTTCAACTCGGGTGAACTGAGAACTTCCTGATACGGGGTGTTTCTCAATCGCGAGTACGCTTGCTTGGTAGCACATGTCTGCCGAGCATCTTGCTTCAGAAGCGAGTCAAAAATACTTCCTGGCATTCGGAAAACGAAGTGTGGAACACGCTAGCAAGTGTGCAGGTGTGCGTCATATGAGAGGCCCCGCCTTACATCTTCCGCCACAGATTTGGGGAAATTGGTCCGTGTGCAAAGCATTGTGGGGATTTTAAGACCGCGGAGTCTACTCATGTGCAGCCTCGATATTTCTCCAAACGGAGTACGCCGGGCTCGGTAGATTTCCAAGTATGCTGGAGATTGGAACAGTCCTTCGGCGGCACTCGATGACGTAGTATGCTTGAAATAGTGGCTCTGAAGCAGCTTTACTCGCGATTGAGAAACACCCACGGCCTCCCTAACTCCCAGAATGCTCCTTTGTTATCACCAAGCTTCACCCCTCCCTTTCTCCTCTCTCTGTGTTTAAATATGCAACCCAAACTTTACTCTTCGTCTTTCACTCTGCAGACTGTATGCTCTCTGTATGACTGACTGAACTTTCTGGCAAGAAATAAAATACGACAAAGACAGCTGAATGGTTTGATTCTCTATCCACATTTGATAAATAAATTCCCACCACACTGAATCTGCTTTATGGTTTTCACTTTCTTTGGTTCATTTGTTCTGTTTTTAATTCAGTAGGTGAACCTATATGTTCATAAAATAGTGTGTGTGAGCTTAAAGGAAACCTATCATGCTATATTTAAATGATATATTGTAGGGCCATACCTATATAAGATATATTTATACGTTTCTGTTTTCAAAATACCAAACAGATCATGCATTTTAGCCATGCCTCATTTCGCTCTATGTGCTGTTTGCTGTCTACGGGTCTGATTCTGCTGACCACGCCCCCCTGCAGGAGAGGGGAGACGTGCTCTGATCAGCTGCTGGGCTGTCAGAAGAGGGGGAGAAAAAGAGATCTCCGTCCTCCGTGTTTTATTATATAGAGTCGTTATTCATTTGTTTTAAAGCTCAATAAATAACAAAGAAGACCTTTGACCGGCACTTTTCTAATTTTGTCCGGAAGATTTAAACTTTAATGGACATCTTGACCGGCGAAAGAAACTGAAACTGAAACTCTGCCGCACGGTCCCCTCGTTCCTTGGAAGAGGTGGGAGAGTGGGTGTTTGTCATCTGCTGGTGGACTAACCGGAGAGAATTACAGTGCTTGCCTCGACGGGGAGGGATTGCATTGCAGCGGGAGCAAACGCTTGCCTCGGGGAGGGAGAAAAAAAGCCACAGCGAAGAATAAACAGAAGGGTAACCATGGTAACCAAGTCTTCTTCGCTGCTTTTGTGGCAGACTACAGCGCCACTTACAGGCCTGGCATATGTACTACAGCGTCTCCAGCACTTTCGAACGGCAATGGCCGTGGCTGTCTCCTCCTGATTGGTGGAGTTGGCCCAATAGCCGTAGCGCCACTTTCCTGACGTCAGTAAAGTGTTCAAATCTGGATCAGTTTTTATCAGATCCGTTGCAGCCCCTTTTTTAGAGATTTGGGTATGGAGGAAAATAGAGAGGGTTGTGTTTTCTGACACTTGGTGAGTTCCCTGGAACACCGGGGACACATATTCATGTATAAAAGACGTACAAAAGTGCATTTTGCATGATAGGTCCCCTTTAAACTAAAACGGAGCATTTTCTGTCAGCTCAGATTGTATTTCTGCTTTTTTAAACTGTAGTATGTGCTCATGTGTTTCAGTGTTGGTGTATAGGCTGCTGCCTGAATATGCTTCATGACAGACAGCTTTTCCTATACAGTGGCAAGCCGTCAGGGCCCTCTAGGCCCTCTCTGAGGGCCTAAGATATTCTACAAAATAATATTTAAAAACATTAAAAAAAAAAAAAGGTTTTTAAAAATATTTATTTTTAGTTATATTTTAAATAACATTTCCAAAGAAATAAATCCTTTGAATCTGCCTATTCAGTTTCTGTTGGAATGTGAAGGGTTAAATGAAAGAAGCTCGTCTCTGTGAGTTACTGTGAAGACAGGAGCTGATTGGTGGTCCAGCTATGAATTCACAGAGGGCCCGCTATAGTAACTGAACGAGAGAGTAATGTCAAACTAGAGAATGCAATTCCTGAAGAAATTGCTAGTGGGAATGCTTTATGCTGAAAATCTGACGCGAAACTGCTATGCTGAAATGTAATGTGTAAGAAGAAAGTGAAGAATTTAGATTGAAATGATACATGAACACTGGGGGCTTGAATGTGTGATGAGTGAAGAAAAGAAAGTAAAAAGGCTTGGAAAAGCAGCAGAATATTTGAACTGCAAACTTTTGAACTAACTTGATGGTGAATGATCTGTCGCCATGCCAACGGCATTTGATGACACCCTATAATACGCTTAGATGCGTTGATGGCTGCATCGTTACCAAACCTGTGAAGTTTTGGGCCGTTTGGAGCATTTTCACTGAAGTTATGAGAAAACCGTGTTTCATGGCAAGCATTGTGTTGCCATGGCAACGGCATTTGAAGAAACCCCATAATTGACGTAGAGCTGTTGAGGGCTGGACCGGTGATATACAAGCGAAGTTTGGGGGACAATCGGACCGTGTCCATTGGACTTACAGCGACATCGTGCTTCATGGGGAGTGGTCTGTCGCCATGGCAACGGCATTTGATGACACCCCATAATACGCTTAGATGCGTTGATGGCTGCATCGTTACCAAACCTGTGAAGTTTTGGGCCGTTTGAAGCATTTTCACTGAAGTTATGAGAAAACCGTGTTTCATGGCGAGCATTGTGTTGCCATGGCAACGGCATTTGAAGAAATCTCAAAACTGTCTCGTAGATGTCTTCACAGCTGGACTGTTAGCACACATGAGAATTTTGAGCACTTTTTGAACATTTTCATAGGAGTTAAAGGGACATCGTGTTTTATGGCGAGGGATGCGTTTCCATGGAAACGGCATATGGTGAGATTTCAGATTTGGCGTAGAGCTGTTGAGGCATGGACCGGTGATATACAAGTGAAGATTGGGGGACGATTGGACCGTGTCCATTGGACTTACAGCGACATCGTGTTTCATGGCGAGTGGTCTGTCGCCATGGCAACGGCATTTGACACCCCATACTACGCTTAGATGCGTTGATGGCTGCATCGTTACCAAACCTGTGAAGTTTTGGGCCGTTTGGAACATTGTGTGTGTGAGAGAGAGAGAGAGTGTGTGTGTGTCTGTGTGTGGTAGAGAGAGAGAGAGAGTGTGTATGAAATGAACAGTTAGAACTGACTGCTGTCAGTTGGAGTGATGACATCATCGTGTTCCATTACACAGGTGTTTATAGTTGAGCTAACGAGCTCTGTAGAGATCAAAGGTTTGCATTGTTCTGAATGAGAGATAAACCTCTTACATGTGAACGTTTTGTGGAAGAACGATAACAGATATCTGTGAAATTTCAAAACGTGAAGCATGTCAAGGAAGTTGAGTATCTGAAGTGTAATTTTTGTGTACTTTCGGGTTAATAATGTGGCAGTTTAACAAAAGGTGTGCGGCTGCTGCTGTGAGGAAATATCTGCCTGAAATTACAATGGGCTTTAATGGGCTTTAATGTTGAACGTTTTTGTCACTTCATGCCCTCAAGAGGCATTTTGTTTAATTATTTTTGCTTAATTATTTGTCATTTTTCAAGCTACGAGATGTTTTCCAACGTTTGTCATGAAAAATTATGTCTCAAGAATGTAGGGTTTGGGAATTATGGCAGTTTTAAAAAAAAATATGAAGGCACATTTCAAGAATTCCCACACTCTAGCTGTGACATCACGCACTCTAGTTAATGTTAAAATCTGAAGAAAACCTCTTTAACAAGGTCTGAACAATGTTTAATATCTCTAAGAATCAGATTTAAAAGTTGTGTTACACGAATAATGTCAGAAAGATGTGTAACATTTTAAAGTTGGAATGAGGTTTCTGAGTGAAAGTATGAATGAACAGTTAGCAGTTGAAGTCGCATGAAGATTTGTTGAAGTCTGAAGAATGTCTCCATTGACTTCCATGTTAAAAATTGGATGAATTATGGGATGTATCTCTGGAATTATGAAAGTTATGAATGATAAAAGTAATAGCCTGCGATTCCCGACCGAGCTGAACGTTTTGATGTTTGAACGGAGTTTCTGCGATGTTGAATGTGGGACGAGAAGAGGGCCAAAATAATTGGATGGAATAATAATAAGAATTTTGTCCGTTGCATAACATATAGTTGGAATGCTGTATCAGCATTCCCACTAAATGACAGTACAATTGACCAATCATATCTTCCCTCTAAATGGGTGGGTTTTATTATCGCGGATTTTATGACAAGTTCCGCCCGCTGTGAAGCTTTTCTTGTTTCCATAGCAACAATTACTTCCTGTCAACAGTGTAAACTCGCCTTCAAAATAAAAGCATGTCCATACAAAATAGGATGCCAAGCCAAATTACACTTAAGACATATAAACAACTGCAACGAAAGTAACAAACACAATGCAATATCCTTTTCAATTTCAAAGAACACAAGTTGGGTTATTTACAGGTGTTGTTTTGTGTGGTAGAGGGTCGCTTTCATTGATGCGTTTTACACCCCGGGCCGTTGTTTTGATATTCCGCTGAAGTATACACTGACGCAATAACTATTTTTTTTTTTTTTTTTCGAGGGAAGGGGTGGGGGTCAGAGGGCCTAGGTATAAAAGTCACGGCTCGCCACTGCCTATCAATAAAATTATTTTGATCCTAAATATCTTGGTTTCTTCTTTTCTAAGGTCACATTGTTCTGTTGTCTTACATAATACACTTATGTTAGAAACATCTCATTGATAATTATCTTCTGTATTGTATTTATTTGCATTGCATTTGATATTGAGGTAATCCAAAAGTAACTGAAAGTAATCAGGTTACATTACTTTATATTGTGATCCTCAGAAAAGGTTACTGATTACTTTTTTCCACAGGTAACTAGTAACAGTAGGGTCACTATTGAAACTAGAAAATGCATTTCCTGCAGAAAATGCGTGCGAATGCTGTAAACTGTGAACATTTGTGGCTGAATTTAGCTGAAAATGCAGAAAAAGCTGAATATGTTATTAGCTGAATGGTAGCTGCTTTTAGCTACAAAAATGCAGAAAAAGCTTAATATTTAAAAGAAAAGGTTTAAAAAAAACATGTATAGCCTTGATGTCCTGAAATAGCTGAATAATGTAATAGTTGAATGGTTTCTGCAGCTGAAAATAGGCTGAAGGAGTTAAATATCAGATGTAAGTAATAGTGAATGAATTTGTATTAAGATGAGAAAAGAAAGTAAAAAGGCTTGGGAAAGCAGCAGAATATTTGAACTACAAACCTTTGAACTAACTTGATGGTGAATTATCTGTCGCCATGGCAACGGCATTTGATGACACCCCATAATACGCTTAGATGTGTTGATGGCTGCATTGTTATCAAACCTGTGAAGTTTTGGGCCATTTAGAGCATTTTCACTGAAGTTATGAGAAAGCCGTGTTGCATGGTGAGCATTGTGTTGCCATGGCAACGGCATTTGAAGAAATCTCAAAACTGTCCCGTAGATGTCTTCACGGCTGGACTGTTAGCACACATGTGAAGTTTGAGCACTCTTCTCTTGATCACCCTCTCACTCTTCTATCGCCCTCTCTCTCTTCTCTTGATCGCCCTCTCTCTTCTCTTGATCACCCTCTCACTCTTCTATCACCCTCTCACTCTTCTCTTGATCGCCCTCTCTCTCCTCTTGATCGCCCTCTCTCTCTCCTCTTGATCGCCCTCTCTCTCTTCTCTTGATCGCCCTCTCTCTTCTCTTGATCGCCCTCTCACTCTTCTATCACCCTCTCTCTCTTCTCTTGATCGCCCTCTCTCTCTTCTCTCTTGATCGCCCTCTCTCTCTCCTCTTGATCGCCCTCTTTCTCTTCTCTTGATCACCCTCTCACTCTTCTATCACCCTCTCTCTTCTCTTGATCGCCCTCTCTCTCTCTCTCCTCTTGATCGCCCTCTCTCTCCTCTTGATCGCCCTCTCTCTCCTCTTGATCGCCCTCTCTTGATCGCCCTCTCACTCTTCTATCACCCTCTCGCTCTTCTCTTGATCGCCCTCTCTCTCTTCTCTTGATCGCCCTCTCTCTCTCTTCTCTTGATCGCCCTCTCTCTCCTCTTGATCGCACTCTCTCTTCTCTTGATCACCCTCTCTCTCTTCTCTTGATCGCCCTCTCTCTCTCTCTTCTCTTGATCGCCCTCTCTCTCTCTCTTCTCTTGTTCGCCCTCTCTCTCTCTCTCTTCTCTTGATCGCCCTCTCTCTCTCCTCTTGATCGCACTCTCTCTTCTCTTGATCACCCTATCACTCTTCTATCACCCTCTCTCACTTCTCTTGATCGCCCTCTCTCTCTTCTCTTGATGTGTCTGTGAGAGAGAGGGAGAGTGTGTGTGTGTGTGTGTGTGTGTGAGAGAGAGAGAGAGTGTGTGTGTGAGAGAGAGAGAGTGTGAGTGTGAGTGTGAGTGTGTGTGTGTGTGAATTGTTGCAGCTCAAATGCATTGCAATGACTTCCATGTTAAAAAAAGACTTTAAAAAAGCTGAATGTTTTAAAAAGTATAACATATTTTGAAAAAGTTGAAAGTTTCCCCATCATGTGCTGAAAAGGCTGAATAGTTTGATATTTGAATGGTTCCTGCAGCTGAAATTAGGCTCAAGGAGTTAAATAAAGATATTAAATGTAAGTAGTAGTGAATGAATGTTTACAAACACCTGTGTGTGTAAACCCAGAGATGAAAGGTTACCATGGTGACGACTTATGACGATTTACCAACTGCAGCACTGAGTCCCATTAAGAATGCATTGAGGATTATATTTGACAATTTTGCCACCTGTTCAAAAACTATGGCTCCTATCAAAAAATTACCAGACCGTGAGCATCAGGGAACCCCAATGAACTGATATGTTGTTTTTTTTGGTTTTGTGTGTAAAATGTGGAGATGCGAGCAGTTTGTCTAAAGTGTACTTCTCTCTGTTCTGAAGAAAGTTCCGGAAGGATTTAACATGGGAATCAATTGGGAGCTAGGTGGACTTTTTGTCTCTTCATGCCCTCAAGAGGCATTTTGTTTAATATTTCTTCTTAATTTGTTTTTATTTTCCAACCTAGGAGAGGTTTTCCTACGTTTTTCATGAAAAAATATGTCTCAGGAGTGTAGGATTTGGGAATTATGGCAAGTTTAAAACATTTTTTGGGGAGCACTGCTGCACTCTGTTTTGAGATCAAAGCACTCTAGACTTAACGAGCTGCTCCATCCACACTAATGTTAAAATCTGAAAAAGGCCTCTCTACCAAGCTCCAAACTAAGTTAAATATCTCAAAAAGTGTAAAAGATATATAAAATAAAAATCAATTTTGAATAGCTGAAGGTCTTGTGATCATTTGAAAGTTGGAATGAAGTGTCTAGCTGAAAGTATGTGGAAGGAGTAGCATTTGGCGCAAAGTGTAGGAAAAGAGGATTTGAAGGCATCTCCCATTGACTTCCATGTTAAAAAAAGAGTTTAAAAAGCTGAATATTTCAAGAAGTATAACATATTTTAAAAATGTTGAAGGTTTCCCATCGATTCCTGAACAGGCTGAATAGTTTAATATTTGAATGGTTTCTGTAGCTGAAAATAAGCTGAAGTTATGGAGTGCCAAAGTATTGGCTGAAGTGGAAAGAATAAAGATTTGAAGTACTATAGTGGAATGCTGTGGCACAGCATTCGCACTAATGACTTCGTCCAATCAGAGCCTACCATGCCACCACCTCTGCAAACAGGATGCAGAGAGACGCTGTCGCTGCGGTGCTCTTGGCCACGCCCCACAGTTGGAGAACCAATGAGAAGTTGATCAGAGACGCAATGGAAGTCCATGTGGTGTAGAGAGCCAAACCATTCTGGACCTGGATATGGGAGCATTTATGAGCACAGAGATGACATCATTCTCATGGCACATTCTTAAAAATAGAGACTTTGTTCAGTGAATGAAGAGCAGCACTCACCAGGACCCTGAGGCAGAACAGGTCTTTGCGATGGTACGCCTGTAACCACAGCCCGTAGTAATCTGTGGCGAAGCAGCAGCAGAACAGAGCGGTGCAGCTGGTGATCACCATCAGGATCAATACAACCAGAGCCGCCAGCATCAACCTGCACACAGGGGGGCGAGGGGGGGGGCAATTCTAGGTCACATTCAGTGAGTTTGACTTCCCTAAAACTTTCAAATCGACACAGAATTCATCAATACCAGCCCACTGGGAATACAAATATTTCACATGAATGTATCCAGCATCCTCAATAACCCGCAAAACCACTCCAAAATTGTCCAAGCCATTTTTTAGCTATGGTCTGAATAGGCTTATAAATACAACTTGTTTTAAGTTATAATCATAGTTAGGTTTTTATTTTAAATACTATGTGCATGCCTTTTTACGTGATAGTGTTCAACTTTCTTCGTCTCTATACTTTGCTGTAACAAACTTAGATTTCCCCTCTGTGGGACGAGTAAAGGAATTCGGTTTCTGATTGTGCTAACTATGCTAATTGCTCTACATATAAAAGTTAGCATCCGGCTGAGCTGGGGACCCTTACTATACATTTCTAACATAAAACTTTGGGTAAGTCATCATTTCCGGGTTCACAATAGGACTCCATGAGCTGGCAGACACTACTTTGTTTCTTTTCGCAGTATTACTAATATTATCACCCCAGTGTCCGGCAGTGGCTCAGTCAGTAGGGGCTTGGACTGGGAGCTGTAGGGTCGCCGTTTCAAGTCCCCGACCAGACCTAAAAATATGGAGTGTGGACTGCTACTTGGAGAGGTCCCAGTTCACCTCCTGCCCTGCCGTGGTGCCCTTGAGCAAGGCACCGGACACTCCCCTTCCCCCCTCACTCCCATTGCTCCCCGGGCGCTGTACAATAGCTGCCCACTGCTCCTAGTACTAGACTCCTGGTACTAGGATGGGTTAAATGCAGAGGCCAAATGTCACTGTGTGTGCTGTGTGCTCTGCATGTGTGACCATTAAAGAGGGTTTCATCCCTCCCAATTATATTCTATTCAAACCTTATTGTGTATCATAGCGCTACACCCCAACAAGAGCTTTAAGGTCTGCTGACCAGCTGTTGCTGGTAGTGCCCAAGACCAGGCTCAAAACCCGAGGGCACCGAGCCTTCGCAGCAGCTGGCCCCAGGCTCTGGAACACTCTGCCCCTCCATGTGAGGTCGGCCCAGACCCTAGGGGTTTTTAAATCTACTCTTAAGACACACTTCTTCTCCCTGGCCTTTTAGTCAGAGCGGAGCACGACTCCTGACTTTTCCCTGTGTTTTCTTTTTAAATATCTGTTGTAATTTATTGTCTTTTATTGTGCTTATAGAAATGTGTTTTTATGTGATTGTAGTTATTACATGTACAGCACTTTGGCCCGACCAAAAATCGCTTTTAAATGTGCTCTATAAATAAACCTTGATTTGATTTGATTTGATATCATAGATGAGGCTGACTGATTAACTAAAACCTGATTATGTTTGTAGATAACAAACAAGGCAGCACATCCATTTGTAAATAAATAATAAAGATTTGTGCCAATGTGCTATATCAGATTCAACTTTCTAACTGTTAGACTAACCTATATATACCAATGTACCGCAGGTCTCCCTTGAAAAAGAGATCGTTGATCTCAATGGGATTTTTTAACCTGGTTAAATAAAGGCTACAAACATATATGACAGTGGTTTGTAGAAAACTGAAAAACGTTAATGTGTCAAATGTGGGAATACTGCCTGTAAATCACTTCCCTACCTTGCATCATAGAAAATTATTATTATCCACATTCTAATTGTGAAGAACTAACATGACAGACAAGTAACTAACATACATTTCACACCTTTCTGCAGCAATACAGTTTGTATTAGGGCTTATATTTAGGAGTCGGAGCGAAGGAACTGTGAAAGTTTGAACATTTTTATAATTATTTTTAACCGAAAGGATGCGTTTCTGAGGGCCTTAACGTTTTGCAAAAGTTGATTTTGTTTTTTGGCAGGACTGTCAGGACTTTAACATTTTTTTATATTTTATATCTGGCACAGAGAATTCTGCCTCCTTCGCTTCACTATTGAGGGGAATGGAATTTGTATATGTTGTGTATCTGGCATATACAGTATAGCACATATAAAGTATATATAGCATATAGCACAAACTAAACAATAAAAAAACAGCAATGTGAATTCCACAAACAACCTCTATGGTTTTCTGGCTAATCGACAGTTTTCACAGGGACTATTTCTGAGCAGTGGCTTTGGATACATTGTTTTATTAGTTTCTTCCGTAAATATATATATTTTTAAATGTGTTTTTAGATGTAATTTGATAATTCTGTGCGACAAATTAATTCTATTAATTTCCTCAGTACTGGGTGAGGCAGACAATTACAAAACAGATACCTATTTAGGGTTGAACAAACACTCTAAGTAGAATATTTAGTTCATTCCATCATAAATCAACAGTACACTTAATTGACTCTTTTCATACTAATGTTTGCATTATCCTTAGTCCCTACTTACTTAATGTTGACGGGTTAAAGCTTACCCAACCCCCATGACAGTCACACTTTGTATTATAGCTTTTAAGTGTTTCTGTGCAAATATAAAAGTAAGAAATATAGGTGTCAGACATACTCTCTGTCCCACAGCAGCAGCCAGATCATGTTCAGCACCAAGTTAGCCATCCAGCAGAAATAGAAGGTGTAGGGCAGCAGGCTCTGAGCCCAGGATCTATTTAGAGGAAGAGAGAGAAGGGGAGGGGGAGGGGGAGGGGGGGTCAGTTTGATCTGCACACAGCTCTCATCTGCATAATACATATGTTGATGTGGGTTTACCCTCTGAAGACATATGAAGTGGTGTATATGACCAGGAGGGTGAGCCAGGTGTAGATGACGCCCCAGATGGAGAAGGTCCAGCCAGCGGGGGTGATGTCCGTCTCATAGAGGGCGGAGACATTCCCTGTGGAGGAGTGGAAAGGACCTGGAGGACAGACACAGCATGAGAGGTTCCTGAAGGCCACAGTGATGTCATATCAACGTATACAGTGTGGGCACTGTCGTTTTCAAAGAGGAAAGGGAAAAAACCAACATCTGGAGGCTAGCATCGCAAGGGCTTCTTAAAAAAAATGCAATGGGATTTTTCCAATGGATTTCTTTTTTGTTCAACAGGATAATCACCACACCACACCACTTTGTGATTTTTGGACCATAACAAAACAATTACCAGAAATATAATTTAACGTTTGACTAGAAAACAAACTACATCAAGGCTGCATGACTCAACATAACCACCACTGAGCTAAAGCCAAATGCTGTTTTTATAACACATAGACACTTTAGACATTCACCAGTGGGTTATTTACTGACATATTTATGTTGTATGACGAAACATGAAAATCTCTTCTGCTTGTGATCATCACAGACCTTATGTCAGACATCTAAGCAAAAATATGTTCAAAATTGTGTTGAACATGAAACCACACATTGCAGCTTTAATGTGTACGTAGTATTTTACTGATGTAGCTTAAATATGAGCCCCTTATTACCTTCTTTTTTTTTTAGTTACATAGCTTAGTTAGGTGGCTCCCGGCCCCTACTAAGTCTTAATTGTGAGATGATTAAGAAAAAAAAGAGGACTAGACAAACTGGTATGGTTTTGGAGACTTTTATAAAGTCTTTTAGCAATTTGGTACTTTTCCATTCAAGAGACATTTTTAGGGAAAATCTCTCTTGAATGGACAAATAATAACTTTAGACACATGACAAAGGGATGGTTACTGTGTCTTTGTAAGAGGACACAAGACGGAAAGTGTATTATACATCTAAAAAAAGGAACTACATATGTTACAGTTGATAGTTCATAGAGATTGCTTTCAACAATGCAAGGATGTGACATTAAAATACAGTTTTATCCAATTAAAATATAAATTATGCCGAGAAAAACAGCAATACATATCAAAACTTGAGCCACTGATGACTTGAGAGGAAGGAATTTGATGTTTATGCCAACCTACATGGGTGTGCCCCTCGCCCCCCTCCATGGGCACCGGTGGGTTTCAGGACCAGATGTTACAAGCGCTCGTTCATTTGGACTGTTTATTTTTGTACAAAGTGGTTTAAAAGTTAAATGGTGTAAAATGTTTTGAATGCAGCTTGCAATACCACTGACGTAACATTTAGAGGAAAGTAACAACACTTTTTTTTCATTTTGTTATTGGGGTGAACGGACCCTTTAACGCGGCGCAAGAGCATCCTCTCATCTCTGTGACGTATCCTTTCTCCTGGAAACAAAACGCAAGCTCTTGAAATACAAATACAGAGTAGCGTATTTTATATATGTATACATCACTACTATACTTTGCCTCTAGTTAGTAGTTGGTCAAGCTAAAATAACGTCAAAGTTACACAAGCACTGTCATGGAAATAAGTGCTCATGTTTTTATGTAACGACAGCAACGACGCAACACAACATTAACTGGGAGTCTCCCTCCCAGTGAAAATGGTTTCGTAACCAGTTAAAACACAGTTGGTGAGGAGAAAATATAAGTCCTTATTCCAATTTTAACATGTTACAAACATTGTGACGTTAACGTTACAGTAAACGAGTGTCCGACGTTTTAGGGAACTTAACTTTGGCTGTAACGAAGCGCAATACAAAACATTGAAGTGTCAGAACAAGGTTACTCAACTCACCCTTTCCCGCTCCAGCCAAAGCGTTGACAATTAAAACTGCAATGAACACCACCGTACATATGGTAATGACTACAATTCGGTTCAAACTGTTGGCCCTCATGTTGGTGAGCTGCTTCTTCTCCTCTGTTCTCCGCTGTTAGCTGCTGTTAGCTGTCACTGACCGTCAGAGAGCAACAAACCGTGACCAACTGATGCCTTCACGCACAATATGTAAACGCCCACACCAGTGATGGGAATTCCGGCTCTTTTTTCAGTGAGCAGGATCATTTGGCTCGGCACCGCATTTCCATTGCAGCGCGTAGCTCGCTTTAAGCGTGCCGTGTCGTGCCGTCCCCTTTTTTGGTTGTGCTTCCATTAGGCCTCGTTCCGGCGCGGGGCCACTTTTTCCCCTCTTTTCTGGCCCTAGAAAATTGTGGTTCTATCGGGGCCAACAAACAGGGCTGAGTCGGGCTGAGTATGCTAAACTAGAGAGAGGAGCGCTGGCAAGAGGGCTAGAACTACAACAAGATGGACATATTTGACCGTGATTTAATTGTAATACACGTTTCAAAATGATGCCGAAGTAACAACATACTGATACCGGTTAGTAAAAACCATGAATTAATGCTTTGTCAAGTCTGCAGACAGACGGCAGGCGAAAAACCTTTTAAAATTCGTGTTTTTCTAGATGGAGATTGGCTAAGCTAACGCAGTATATGCCCCGACCGTCCACACTCACAACAACGGCCTATACAGACATAAATAAAGCAGCGACTGTATTCACCATGACACAGGCAGTCTGTGGTGTGTACTTGTTTAACTTTTGTCGAGTTTCTGAACATATATAAGGAGCTGTGAGCTCTGAGTGCTCACAGCTAACGGCTGTGTTGTGTTTCTGGATTTCTCATTGAAGATGACGTGACGTCACGGCTCCGCCTACACTGCGTTACTATAGTAACTACCCCAGTTCCTAAACTGTAATGGAAGCGCAGCATGAAGTGAGTCGGCCCTGTTAAGGCCCAACGCGGCCAAGCCGTACCGAGCCGTACCGAGTGTGGCCGAGGCCGACCGTGTAGTGGAAATGCGCCACAAGAAGAGACGGCTCTTTCGGCTCCCAAACGGCTCTTCATTTTACCACATATACCTTTTATAATTCAATCAAATGTAGCCCTGTATTGACTCATGATTTATATGTGTACACATATATCCCTTAAAGTATTCAATACATCCTTTGTACTGAAGTATTCAAAAGTAAAAATTACATTTTTAATATAAATGATTTGCTGTGGCCAATTGTTTTCATTGCATTTACAGACCCTCTCTGATACCACCCAATGAATGCACTGACTTGCTTGTAGAACCACGATACACAAAGCAGATAGCAACACCTAGCCTATAACAACTTAAGCATAGACATTTAAAAAAAGGACAGCTACTGTATCGACATTTTAAAATTGTATTTAAAGAAAAAGCCTTAACAAAACAGCAGGGCTCTATTTCAGTATTAACTAAAGAAAAAAAGACAGCAACAGCTGACATCAAATCTTTGCTGAGCCTAAAGATAATCATAAATAAATAACATAGTGAAAATAAATATATTGCAATGCTCAAAACAGCAGCATCCAACCGTCTCTAATCCTTGGATATTACATGTCACTGCATGCATGCACGGAGCACCATAGCGCGGAGATCATCATATCATTCTGTCTTGTATTACTTAACCATCGTTCACTTATGGTGAACGACCGACACATCACTAGCCCACACCCCTAGCCCACACCCCTTGTGCGCCTTCAACAAACGTCTCTATTGACTTAAAGGAGAGGTGTCATGCTTTTCCGGTTATTACCCGTCCCCTTGTGTGTTATGAAGGTTTTTATGCATGTAAACGGTGTGCAGAGTCAAAACCCTCAAAGTACACCGTGTAGCGAGTAAAACTCTAAGACAGAAAATACCTCCCCAAAACGCCTCGTTGGAGATACGTCATTGTCCATTTGATTCTTCCGGGTACGGCAGGATGTCATGCCGTACCCGGAACGAAATGGACCAATCCGTGGAGCCGTTACGTTACGTCCGCGGAGCCGTTATGTTAAGCCCCCGCTGATTGGTCCAAATTGACCAATCCACGGACTTCCTCACACACAGGCAGCTCTGCTGATTTCTCCTCCCTGGCTGCAGGCTGATAACAGACAGTTGGGATCGCGGCGAAATTCTCTCTGCAGACCCATTCTCACAGCGTTTATCAACCTTTTTCTTACTCAATATCAAGCCACACTTATTGTTTTTACTTCGGCTGTGAGTTTGTGTGTGCTCAGGATGAGTTTGGCTGTGTTTCGCTATGTATCCTAAACAAGGAAACAACACCTCCACGGAGCTCAGCGCGATTCACAACGTCCCGACCAATCAGAGCACACTGCGCTCACAGGGAGGGTGGGGGCTGGAGCTATTTGAGCTACAACGAGCCGTTAAAGGCAGAGAGTGAAATTCAGTGAATACACGTAGTTTACAGAGATGCTGTATGAGAAACCAATGTGAGTTTGGAAAAATGCACAGTATAAATCTATTTTAGTATACCTCAACAATGGAATTATGATCAGTGGAAATGGCCATGACACCTCTCCTTTAAGTGCTACGTTTTCATTTAAATGTATATATTTGGCAGAAATTAACCTGGTTGTGACCTCATATGGCAGAGGGAAAGGCAAAGGAAGTAGGCCTACCCAATTAAAATAAAATAACTCGAGTGGATCCGATTTACAGGCGGACACATTCTTTTTCACTTGTGTTAAAGGAGACATGTCATGAGCCGCGTTCACACCGGAGTACTTTTCCCCGTACTTTTCGCCTTTAGTTCCGTTAGTACCCCTTATGTCGCGTTCACACCAAAAAGAGTATTTAGTGCCGGGAACTTTTACCCCCATTTTTAGTGCCTGCTGAGAGATGGTACTTTCCTGGGGGGAAAAAGTGCCCCAGTTCTGATTGGCTGGGCGAATTGCAAACCACGCCCCGTAAAACTCTGAAATGTTTTGTAGAGCCGCCATTTTATTATCCTGGCATTAGCATTATTAGCATTAGCATTCGCCCAGCGCACAAACGCAGAGAGACTAACTTATGGCAACACAAAATAAAACATGGGAGCGGTGGAGATGAGGTGTCGGCGTTCCGGCGATTTACTCGGAAGGCTTCAGTAGAAGCCAGTCCCCAACTCCGGGGACTTCCGGCCGGGGACTTCGGGTGGCAGTACACACCGTGAAGTGGTTTGCGGCCTGCCAGTAAACCCAAAGCAGAAGAAGACGAAGTGACATCAGCGGCTCATTTGCGTAATCTTCCCTCAGGGAACTTATTCCGGTGTGAACGCGATCTGTACTAAGTGCCCTGGGGTAATAAGTGCCCTGGGGTAATAAGTGCCCTGGGGTAATAAGTGCCGGGGCACTAAGTGCCGGCACTAAGTATGGCAAATTACTTGGTGTGAACGCGGCTCATGGCCATTTCCACTGATCATAATTCCATTGTTGAGGTATACTAGAATAGATTTATACTGTGCATTTTTCCAAACTCACATTGGTTTCTCATACAGCATCTCTGTAAACTACGTGTATTCACTGAATTTCACTCTCTGCCTTTAACGGCTCGATGTAGCTCCAATAGCTCCAGCCCCCACCCTCCCTGTGAGCACAGTGTGCTCTGATTGGTCAGGACGTTGTGAATCGCGCTGAGCTCCGTGGAGGTGTTGTTTCCTTGTTTAGGATACATAGCGAAACACAGCCAAACTCATCCTGAGCACACACAAAGTCACAGCCGAAGTAAAAACAATAAGTGTGGCTTGATATTGAGTAAGAAAAAGGTTGATAAACGCTGTGAGAATGGGTCTGCAGAGAGAATTTCGCCGCGATCCCAACTGTCTGTTATCAGCCTGCAGCCAGGGAGGAGAAATCAGCAGAGCTGCCTGTGTGTGAGGAAGTCCGTGGATTGGTCAATTTGGACCAATCAGCGGGGGCTTAACATAACGGCTCAGCGGACATAACGTAACGGCTCCACGGATTGGTCCATTTCGTTCCGGGTACGGGGTTACGTCACCCCGTCCCGGAAGAATCAAATGGACAATGACGTATCTCCAACGAGGCGTTTTGGGGAGGTATTTTCTGTCTTAGTTTTACTCGCTACAGGGTGTACTTTGAGGGTTTTGACTCTGCACACCGTTTACATGCATAAAAACCTTCATAACACACAAGGGGACGGGTAATAACCGGAAAAGCATGACATGTGTCCTTTAAGTCTATGCTTAATAGTGGGACAGGGTCCTTATAAACCAGCAGACTTTTCTTTGAAGATAAGGTTCCAGGGTGTCCCTTTGCTTGAAGCTGACACACCCTCAAACACCATCATTCCCTCACTTTCTCTCCAATACATCAGTGCTTCCATGTCAGGAAAATTGCTTCATCCAGATGTTATGCACTTTAGATGAACATGTTTGATCCTATTTTCTCAAAACTGCCTTGTCTAACATGACCTCAAACATATCTTTGCTTTTTTTGTAATGACATTTCTTATTGGCTGCTGAATACACTATTACCCATATATTGGCATTAAGATAATATATATTTTACACATGTTTGGAATTATACTGATACGTTTTTGTTTAAGAGAAGTGTATTGTATTCAATACAATCATCGGAGAGAAAATGCTTACAACCCTGAGCAAAACATTTGAAAAGTTATACAGGGCTGCCCCTCCCTACACGCAGAACACGTGCAGTGCGTAGGGCCTCATCTTATGCGCAAATGCGAGCAACACCCATTTGTATCAGTGTTCAAATATAAGTCGTGTCTCAGTTTGTGAGCTGTTTTTCTTATACCATATGAAGAAAAACAGTGAGCTAAACAAATGTGTGGAGATTTTTCTCTAATGACAAATGATCTTTGTTTTTCAGGAGAGAGTCTCTTGTAGAGGGGCGGGATCATCTGTGTAGCAACGGCTAGTTGTGGTTTATTGATATTAAAGACAGATGAGGAATTCTCTTAAATGAAACAAAGCCTTCAGTATTGCACCCAGCTGTAGTCAGCCTAGGGAAGGTTAAAGCATGTTCGTAGATTTGTGGAGATACACTAGTAGTTTATCAATTCTCCAACATATGGATCATGTTAACCCTTAGATGCACGAGTGACTGGACCCTACACTCTTCCATAAGTGGGTCTAAAAGGACCCGTATTAGAATAATGTGTTTTTATGCCATTTTGGTTAAGAAAAATCACTTGTATAATATTTAGTATTATATTTTGGTTCACATTAGAAATGTTTTATATTTAATTTTTCACAATTTAGAATTTTTGAATTTGTTTTTACATTTGAAAAAAAAAACGTTTGGAACATATTGATGCAAAGATCTCCGCTATTCTGAGACCCTCACAGTATTCCAGTCCCTTTTCAAAACTCATCTCTTCTCTTCTCCTCTTGTCTACTCATAGCGCCCCCCCCCCCCCCATCAATCCATGCCGGTTGATCAAGTTTGATAGTCCTATACCCCCCCCCACCCTAACCTTCCCTTATATTGTAAAGCGATTTTGAGTCCTTGAAAAGCCCTATAAAAATATAATGTATTATTATTATTACACTGACAGGTATCAGATCTTGCTGTGTAAAATAATCTTCCTGAGAGGCTTCACTTGGGATGTAGTCTGTGTGTTCTACAGTGAATGTATTCCTGACAGCAACAGGTGATAAGAATCAAAGGTTCCCAATAGGATTCCATAGAAAATGCATGCGGATCATTTTTGACCCACTTATGGAAGCTTGGGGTAGTAATACAAAAACTACAATTTCTTAAAATGTAAATTTAAAATGTGAATGGCATGATATCCAAAACATGTTTTTTGAGGAATAGCTGGAATATGAAATGATAATTTTTTTTAATTACAAACATACTTCAAGAAAACCACCTCACCGGGTCCAAGGGCATCTAAGGGTTAAGAAAAAACCGACAACATTACTGCTGGGATTGCTCTAAATTCTTGAATATAAACTCCCTGAAAAGGGCATCAATATTCATTCAGTGCTGGCCTGAGTCTGCACATGGGATTTGTTTACGATGAAAAACATAGAATATTACCAGATTTAAAATGTTAACATATTACATGCATAAATAATGACCGACAGTCTCAGAACATGTACCAGCTTTTGGACATAAAATATGAATTTACTTCAAGTTCATTACAACCGTATCTGACATGTCATTTTTTCAAGTGCTTGTCTATTACAAACTGTACATCCATTAAATCCAAAAGTAACGTTTGTGTGTGTTTTTGTGTGTGAGTGTGTGTGTGTGTGTGTGTGTGTGTGTGTGTGTGTGTGTGTCTCAGTAGGCTGGTTTGTGTGTGTGAGTGTGTGTGTTAGGAGGCCTGTGGTTGGCAGTCCTGAGTCTCTGTGCTGCTGTTCTCATAGTCTCTGTGTAAGTCCAGTGGTCCGTACAGGTTCTCCAGTACAGCCAGTACTCTGCTCTGCACCGAGTCCACCTGCTCTACGGGGCAGTATTCATCCAGACTGGACCTGGACCACACGTTCAAAAACACATTTCATTTCTTTTTTAACTCTGACTCTTATTAAGTACATCTGTAACTCCCATGAGGCTCTGCATGTTGTTATTTACCTGGACATGGTGACCAGTGTGGGTTTGGGCAGAGCCTTGAGAAACAGCTGCACGGCGGAGATGAGTCTGTCGATTTCCTCGTCGGAGCTGATGTGGTGCGGCAGCTCCCCCGAGTCACAGGTCAACCCAGCCTGATGGACCTGAGGGAACACAGGGAGAGAGCAGAGAGATCAGATGTGAGAGGGAATAAAACAACACCCCAATATGAGCCCTGATGTATTTCATTTGATTCATGCCGTTACTTTGAAAGTCCCTGTACTTTATTTATCATTATCACATCACTGCAGAGTGTTTTATTCACGTCACACTGACAGGTGAATGAGCGACTGTCATTCTGAGTGAACAGTTCCATCCCATGTCGCAACCTCTAAGGTTTTCATTTGTAATGTGTGAATAATCTACGTACATAGACACCTCTGTATGAATTTGTCAATTATTGCTTGAGTTTCACAAAACCTGTAATAATCAGTATAGTAGGAGCTGTTGTATCAGTACACTCAAAGTTCATAAGGGCCTTAACATTCTTACCATTTCATAGTCAGGGCACGGGTTTCTGGACTTTAAACTGGAAACCAGTCGGGTTAATGAAGCCATGCTGGAAGAAAGAAAACAGGAAGATAATACACTTTAGGTGTGCCTGGTGGAACAATGGACTAAATAAAGTAATGTGCATGGAATTAAGAGTCACACAATGAAGGATCTGGATAATTACAGACGTGCTACACTTCATACATCAGTGCTGATGCTCAATGATCATCCATTTCATATAGGGAGAGAAGTCACTTCATAATCGTCCCATCACACACATGCTTTCATCTGGTTGGACATGTTGGACCTGTTCTCACTGTGTGGGTGTGTACATGTGCCTGCATGACACCTGTATGACTATGTTTATGTCGTTTTGCTAGTTCCAGAGCCCTGAATTGTGTTGCATGGGTTAGCACTCTCTCTTCTCAAAGCATCAAGCTTCTGACTTCCTCCAGTCGTGACGTGAATTTTCGTCTGTTCTTCTTACCCCTTTTCCATTAAAAAGAATTCCATTGTAGTTCTGTGTTGGGGCTAGATTGGTTCAGTTTGTTGAGTCTGAGAGGAGCCAGGTTTTAACGCCACCGTTTATATCCCACCAACGCCAGCGATTGTGCCTCACAATAATGTGATGCATAAGGCAAATTAATTATTGGCCATAAAGTAGTGTTAAAAACGAATTATGTAACATACTGCCTGGTTAATGTTCCATAACGTCTATATGTACAATATGTGTAATTGCGTTCTAGTCACTTTGCGATCTCGGCACTCCTGCAACATCTTTCTAATCTCACCATGAACTGATGTTGCTCTGCACTAGCCTCTTATGTATGCGTTATGCCTTATGGCAGTTCAACCAATTTTCAGGGCTAAGAGCCGGCCCCGCTGCAGTGGAAACACAAACAACTTGTTCTCAATTGGGCACCGGCTCCAAACCGGAACTAGAACCAGGGAAAACGGGGTAACTTTATCAGCCCTGTGACTGTGTATGGTGTACATGCAATCGTCTTTTTTCATTCCACTGAGGAAACTGTAGAGCATTATCTCCAATAAAACAGCAGAGGATAAACATTGAGCACTATATTTAGCCCAGGTATTTACAAGCTAGCTCACAGGAACAGAGCCGTTGTTATTGGCTAGGAAGCTTTTACACCAACACACAGTCCTGATTATAAGTGTGCACATGAAAAAAACAATGACAGTTTTCACAGGTTGAGGACACAATCCCCAATAATAAGAAAACAGCAGTGCCACTTTAATAATTCCATTAGTTTAAAATGCTAAGGGTTGATTACCCGGGGTTCCTGGCCCAGCGTGTCACTGTGTCCGCCCCATCATCCTCCAGCAGGTCAGCGAACGCAGCCTCCAGGTCCTCCAGCTGACGGACACGCTGATCCACACACTCATCCAGCTCCTCCTGCAAACACACACAAAAAAAGGTTATGTATAACTCTTAAAAAGGACCAAAATAAGCTTCAGAGAAAACAACATTACCATGTACTCCTATAGTAAGCGGCAAGAGTAAGTATAGAAGCTTTAATAAGTATTAGCAATGTAAAAAATAAATGGGAAAATGATCTCTTCAGCATTATACCATCAATGGATTGGGAATTGATGCGCAAAAACATTTATAAACCAACTAACCCAAACTACTCGAAGGAATACACAGGGAAGACTTTAGTTCAGTAAAATGATGCTCACTCACTGACTCACCTCAGCAGCATGGGGGCGCGGTCCTTTGAAGCTGTAGAGCTCCTTCAGGATGGTGTACTCTTCCTACACACACACACACACACACCAATTAAACACGTTTTACATTCACACTACAAAAGATCCCTATGTAGATTTCCAACAGTAAATACAGAGCTAAATCCCAGGTCAAATGCATGCATGGGTCTTGAGCGGGTTTCTCTCAGTGATCTTGATGTTATGTTAAATGTTTGTTTTTCTTGTATTGTGTCTTAATATCTGTCGTTGTTAATGTTGCAAATGGAGCTGCTGTGACGCAAGTCAAATTTCAGACTTGGTCTGACCATTATACCGTATATACTGTATGGACTCTGGCACATCCACTGTACTTTAATTGGTCTTTTTTTTTTATCTAAAAGGATAAACTGGTGAAAGACTGCATCTTTGCCTGTGTAAAAAATAATTTGTCCATATTTGTTTTGATCATTAACTTGTATTAAAATTATTCTAGCTTTAATCAAAACCTGTTACTTAAAGGGGACCTATCATGCAAAATGCACTTTTTTATGTCTTTTATACATAAATATGTGTCCCCGGTGTGTCGGGGAACTCACGCAGCGTCAGAAAATAAAACCCTTTCTCTTTTCCTCCGTACCCAAATCTCTAAAAACGGGGGTACAACCATGGATGTATAATAAGAACTGGATACAGCGTAGGAGGCGGGGCCTCGTTCATTCCTATGAGAGTTGCTCATTGGCGCATGAAGACAAAATGGCCCAACTTTTGAGAGAGCGAAACGTCACGAAAGTATTCATATAATCCGTTCTTATTTTGCATAAGGTAAAGGTAAAACTCATGTAGTACTGAACACGTCACATGACGTCCCGTGGGTTAGATCCGCGTTCATAATGCCGAGGAAAATAACTCTCAGAATAACGTTATTAGCACATTTTACAACTTGAGGACCTAATGTTTTTAATAAGGGCTATATAAATGTTCATACTGGGTAGTTTATTTAGTTTAAAAAAAATTATCCAACGATTTACAGATGTCTCGTTCCCAATGTTAATGGGAAAAAGTATTTCCGGGCCCAGCGACTGATACGGAAGTGTAGTACCGCCGTTTGGCCACAACTAATATTTTCCTCAGAATCCGGCGCACTTCCTGGGGGCTTGGGTACAATGAGCGGATACAGATTTGCTGCCGATATGACATAAAATCGGGTTTTGGACTTAATCTTGTCTTTGTTTACATTAGCAAGCCTCGCTAACACTCAGAGCTAACCTGTACTGTAAAGCACATGTGTTTAAAAAGCAGGAAATAAAAAAAGGCCATACTGTTTCAGAAATAATCCTTGATGTGGTTTAGAACAGGATGGCGTTTTATCACAGCAGAATTTATCTCCGGTAGAATTCTGATCAGGCATTAGCTCCGCCTCCTTTTTTTTTTTGTTCAAGCTAAGGACCCAAAATCCACATTTCTCTCAAGTCCCCAGGAAGTGCACCGGACTCTGATGAAAATATTCGTTGTGTCCAAACGGCGGTACTACAATTTCCGTATCAGTCCGTGACGTCACTGGGCCCAAAAATACTTTTTGCCATTGACCAACATTGGGAAAGAGACGTCTGTAAATCAGCGGATAATTAAAAAAAACAACAAAATAAACTACCCAGTATGAACTATTTTATAGCCCTTATTAGAATCATTAAGTCCTTAAAGTTGTAAAATGCACTAAAAGCCGAATCTAGATTTATTTTCTGTCTCCATTCATTCTACTGAGCCGAGAGTGGGAGCTCCGGGGGCGGGGCTTAAGGGGTGCATGCTCTGTGAGCGCACATACGGGTTCTTCTGCTCTGACAGCCAGGCATGACAGGTAATCTGTGACGTTTCGCTCTCTCAAAAGTTGGGCCATTTTGTCCTCATTACAGTAATGTGGGGGCAAACGGGTGGCACAGAGAATTTGATTTCTGAAACATTCTGACAAATGTTATTGCCTCTTCACATGTATACTGTTGATGCTTTCTTGCACAGCTCTGTTAGCCTAGAACATTGTTTCTCCACATCAAGCTTGATAGCAAACATTGCTGATGATCGCAGCTCATGTCAAGTTGCTAGTTCTCCCCAAATGCCATCAAGGAGGTATTTATCACAAACTAATTTCCGTTTTGGTCTGTGAATTCAGATTAAGGCTATTTCACGTAAATTGAAACAATAACTACGTACACTGAAGAGGAGTCCATCTGACTGAGATGAAGCGTATATAATATAACACATGAAGTTATTCAAAACCAAAATACATTTTTGACTAAAAACCTGAAAAGAGCTTATAGTGTTTGTTGTGAAAGGACGATCCAGATGTTCTCTCTTCTCTGTAAGCTGTACTGTTCTGTACTTTAAGTATGAATCTATACGCCTACTGCCTGAATATGCTGAATGAAAGGCAGCTTTTCCTATCAATAAAATCATTTTGGATCCTAAATATCTTGGTCTCTTCTTTTCTAAGGTCACATTGTTCTGTTGTCTAACATAATATACTTAAGTTTTGTTCCTATTTGGATAAAGGATTGTTACTCTGAAAGCCCCATGGAGTCGTTACTTTCTGGAGACTTCCTGTCTAGCCCAGGCATAATTCCAAACTCTTTTTTCAAATTCTTACTTCCTGTTTTTCAGGAAGGCGACATCTCTTAGTTAAAAAAAAAGTGGTTTCTATCAAGCATGGTGCTGCATTGGTAGACGTTTGTTTATAACACATCATTATGTTTAGCTTTGTTTAAGATAAAAGCAATGAGTGAGTTCAAGTGGGATGTACCTCTGTGTATAAAGCAATGAGTGAGTTCAAGTGGGATGTACCTCTGTGTATAAAGCAATGAGTGAGTTCAAGTGGGATGTACCTCTGTGTATAAAGCAATGAGTGAGTTCAAGTGGGATGTACCTCTGTGTATAAAGCAATGAGTGAGTTCAAGTGGGATGTACCTCTGTGTATAAAGCAATGAGTGAGTTCAAGTGGGATGTACCTCTGTGTATAAAGCAATGAGTGAGTTCAAGTGGGATGTACCTCTGTGTATAACTCCTTGAAGGGATTCTTACATGAGAAGAAATCCAAATCAATGTCCAGGATATACGGCTCTGTCTCACTTAGAAATGAAGATATTATCTTCACAACATAACTGGTGGATCCTTCCTCATCATCTTCATTGGAGCTCGACCTGCTGCTGCCCTCTGCAGGTCGCAGCGGGTCAGTACATGTGAGGGGGGGCTCCGAGCAGCTGGACCCCCCAGCGCTGCATTCTGTTCGTCCTCTCTTAGCACAACCTCTGTCTATGTCCTCTGCACTCTGCACTTCTGAAATGTCACAAGAACAAATTTTAAAACAGGGTCAAATGGAAATATGTCCTATCAGTAAAAGAAGAGAAAATCTTCAATATGATCTGAAAAAAAAAAAAATCATTGGATATAGAGAAGGAAATAAAAAAACGAGTAAATAATATATGTGTTAAAAACATTTGATAAAAAGAAAGGGAAACAATCACTCATATATTAACATTGTTGAATGATGACTGATAAGTCTTGAATAAATCCGGTTAAGGCTTAAGATTTCAGGGAACAATCTTTTTTTCAATGTTTGTACGACTGCAAATAACATTATACAGAGGAGAAGAACCCTGCCAACTGATGAAGCATTCAAATATTCTATAAAGGAAAAGTGTTTTTTCAGTTAGAGAAAAATAAATGCTATTATTTAGTATACTCCCATTCTTAGAAGTAACCAGGTAATTTACAAGCATGTGTATTTCACACCGAGGCCTGGATTCCCTGGGGAGAGAATGAAATCACCAAATCAACCTTAAAGTGTGCTTTCAAAGCGAGGCATATTACAATTAAGTGGCTGTGCTCTGAAAGGAGTCAATCACTTCAGTTCTGGAATTAGTGATCAACATTTCAGACAAACAAATCTAAAAAAAGTAGCAACTTTGCAACGCTGCTGTTGGTTCGCTCTACCTCCCTGGAAACTGAACAGTGTTGGACTCTAGGCCTCAGACTGGCAGCAGGAACAGGTATTGTGTTGCCATGAGCTTGTGTAAATCATCAGTAAATTCATACTTGTGCATGCACAAGATACAAAATCCTTATAGAAATGAATATATCAATGAGGCACCTCACATTTCTGTTTAGATATCTTCTAATGTTGCACTCAGTGTTAGACCTCACCCGTCAGTGAGCTTTGGCTCTGTTTAACAGGATTGACTTTGACCACGTTCAGCCTCAGAGCTTTGGGGTTCTCCAGCTGCTTCTCAGAAACATACAGACCGTCACTGAGGAAGTAGTCGTCTGTGCTGGTCACCCTGCACAACAAGGAGAGAAACAGATACAGGAAGTGACGTTCATGACAAACCAAAGGGAAAAATCTGATCTTAAAGCTCCTAGAAACATTTGTTACAGGCAAATCGTTTTTTTTGCTATTAGGGTTCCTAACAGAGTGAAATGACCCGTAACAACTGAAATGGCAGCCATGATGAGAGCTTTCAAATTCATTAAATGATAGGAAAGGAGCTTCAATAGTACCTTTAGTATCCCCTTTAGTATCCCCTTTAGCTCAGGATACACTGGGGCATTGCTTTACAGAAGAGGAGAAAGTGACGCACCATTCGTCCGTTCATGGAAACAACCGATGATGAGCGAGAAACGCAGATCATTTAAGTAACACTGCTTTATAAGCATTTTCCGTCATATTACATACATCTTGCTAAAGTGCTCATATGTTTCCAACTTTAAAGAAAAATATGCACAGTAGTAGATGTATTGCATAAAGTATTATTTATTCAAATAGTTTCATACAATCACACTAATTGAGATTCATTTAAATTAATATGAATAGAAGCAGGAAGCAACAATTGCCATTTTGTATTTGAATTCAAACCTTGGTACTGAAGATATACATTTGTCACTGTTGTCCACGTTTATACAAGCCCAGCTGAAACAACATGATAAGAATGCATGGGGTAAAGTATCTACATGTATTCCATCTATGGAACATGTTCTGTTTGTGGGCGACTGTGGTAGTGTTGGGGTCTATCAATCAGAAGGTCCCAGCCTCTACATTCAACAGGTTTATGCTTCTTGGATAAGACACTTAACCCTGAGTTGCTCCCGATGGCCAACAGTGTGTGAGTGTTAGTCCCCTGAGCAGGAGCACCTTGGATGGCAGCCTCTGCCTCTGTATGAATGTGTGAATGCTGACTATATGTAGAATGGTCACAAAGACTGGAAAAGTTCTATATAAATGCACATTATTTACCATCATTTAACCACGGCATACGCACGTCAATAAAATCCAACAATAGCAGCTGCTGCATCATAATGACGTCGCCCAGTGTATAGACCGTCTCTTTTCCAACGTCTGCATACATTCTCTTTCACATTATTCTTTAACGTTTTTCTCTGAGGTTAATTCATCTGATTTAGAAAAAGACATTGGACGTGATTTTTTTGGAAAATTCAACAGCAGCTTTCATAGAAGTGTGTGATGCGCTAACAGGTGCAAGCTAACATGAGAGTGGGGGAGCTGACAAACAAGCCCAGTGTGCAACACAAGGGAAGCACCTGTGTGGGGGCTTTAACTAAAGATACACACTTCACAGCTGACAGAGGACTTTAATGAGGGTGTGTGTATTCCTACCTGATGGTGGTGGTGGACGAGTCTCTTCCCACAGCCATCCTGTGCTCCCCCTCTGTGATCTGCTGGGCCCAGTATGGATGCAGCCAGGCCACACAGGACACATGGCCCGCATACACCATGGGCATGATCCAGTTCTCTATACTCAACTCACTGAGAAACATACACAGATAATAGAGGAGTCAACAAACGGGCATTTGTTGTCAACAGACAACCTGAAATGATCTCTGGTGGCCCAAAATATAAATATATAGACTTTTTACTTTGACGCGTTTTTGAGCACAGTGAACATGAACATAAGGGTAAACACAAAACATTTGAACATAGACATAATATTTGGATAAATAAAAAAATGAAGTGTGTGAATCTTTGAAATTCACATATATTTGTATAAATGTTGTGTTGTCAATGGCTTGTACTCAGTACAAGGGAAGAGGAGCAACATGCTCCCTGTGTGTTTGAGAGAGGGAAGAGAGGATGGACTATTGCATGCATTGTTTCTGCAAGTTATTATTAATAATAATTTGAATGGCAACGTTAAAACATTCAGTTGATTATGCTTAATTTTATAAGCTGATACAGATGTTAAAAATAGTGCACAATAATTTGTATTTCGGCTTCCTCACCTGCTAAGCCCCCACATGTACTTCTCCATGAACCATGTCTTTTTTACCCCCAATATAAATCTTTTGCAAGTTTTCTGCTAGGTACCAGCAAAATAATTAACTTCATGGTACACCCAGAACAAGATCACTTATTTTCCATTAACCCTTTGAGATAAGTAGCCAAGCAGATTGTTTTGGTTTTAGTACTCCAGGTTTTAGAAATTGTGTACGTCTTTTATACATGAATGTGTCCCCGGTGTGTCAGGGAACTCACCAAGTGTCAGAAAACACAACCCTCTCTCTTCCTCCATACCCAGAATAATTCAAAGTAGATGCTGTAAACAGCTTCAAAGGGAACGGTCTTCTGAAGAAAATTGTTTTAAATTGAGTAAAGCAAGCAACCCTTTAAAATGTGATAAGGCTCAACAATGTCTCTATGATGGCCATCATAAACATATGCAGATGTAGGCTTTTTAACATGTCAGAGCATGTGAAAAATGAAATCAGTGCCACCACAGCCACAGCACAGCTAAGCTCATATTCAGATATTAAAGATGAATTCTGTTGAGTAAGGTCTTTTTGCAATTGTTTTCCCTCACCTGTTCTAAAGCCACAGCTTGGACAGATACCAGGCCCCGCTTCACACTGAAAGACTTTGTGTGTAAGAAACGTACCTGAAGAGTTTCTCCTTGTCAAAGACGGTGTCAGCTGACATGTTGACGGGGATGAGCAGATCAGGGTGGGAGTCTAGATGAACCATCTTTATGTTCTGCAGGGGGAGGTGTCTCGATGCAATGGCACGATAAATATGACGCACCACCTAGTACAGAACCAAGATAGAGTAAAATTAGCAATTTAAAGAAATTTGACTCATTAGAATGTCATGATAAAACTGACATCTCATCTAAGGCTGAAGATATTCAATAGAAGAACCAGCACAATCAAACATGCACTCTAGGAAGGGGGAACTCTGAAAACACAACAAGCTAATGTTATTTGATTGACAGGCAAGTGTCAAGTGGCTGACAAATTAAAAAAAGAGGCGTTGACAGATAAGGGACATTACATTTAAAAATAGACTTTTGATCATAACTGACCCCATTATGTATGTGGTTCGATTAACCCTCCTATCTTCAACTATCATTGTTTTTTTTACATTTGATTGAAACATCTATGTAAAAAATGAACGCCATTGCAAAGGAATGGGTAACCTTAGATTATGTTTGTCCATCAGATAATAAACAACCAAATCGATAACATGTTAATTTTGGAAGACATTTTCAGTGTCTATTATTTGTATATTCAGGTATTCATGTCATTGTTTACAAGGGTGTTAAATAACATTTGGTGATGATGAATCGTTTTAGTGTTAATGTAAGAGCAGTTAAAACAGACCGTGAACACCAAAGTAAGGCTGGAGAAACCAACATGATTAGAGGGTTAAATCAAATGTATTCCAGAGAGGTGGAGAGGTGTGTGTGTGTGTGCGCGCTTCAGTAGGCTGGTTTGTGTTTGCGTGTGTGTGTGTGTGTGTGTGTGTGTGTGTGTGTGTGTGTGTGTGTGTGTGTGTGTGTGTGTGTGTGTGTGTGTGTGTGTGTGTGTGTGTGTGTGTGTGTGTGTGTGTGTGTGTGTGTGTGTGTGTCTCAGTAGGCTGGTGTGTGTGTCTCAGTAGGCTGGTGTGTGTGTGTGGGCTGTCCCAAATACGATTTTCCGGGCTCCGGATATTTGGTAGTAATCAGCAGCGGATATTCGGCCCGCGCGGGGGGGGGGGGGCGTAGTAATCAACACGTGTATTTCGGTTTATTCACGGAATTCATTTTGTTATTCTACAGTATTGCTGTTTTATAGTTATTTGTTAATGTATATAACCCAATTTGTGTTCTTTGAAATTGAAAAGGATATTGCATTATGTTTGTTACTTTAGTTGCAGTTGTATTTATGTCTTAAGTGTAATTTGGCTTGGCTTCCTATTTTTTATGGACATGCTTTTATTTCGAAGGAGAGTTAGCGCTGTTGACAGGAAGTTGTTGTTGCTATGGAAACAACGTGACGGAGATTAACGGAGAAAAGTCATATCTACATATAAAGACGGAGAAATTAAACTATAACGTTTATGGTTAAGTGTTAGCAGCCCCCGAAGAGGCACAAGCTCTCGTTGATATTGGAGATTTCAATAAATTCAATCAAAAACGAAAAAAAAAACGAATAACGAAATTGAAACCCGAATAGTACTCCAACGAACGAATATTCGGGTACAGCCCGTGTGTGTGTGTGTGTGTGTGTGTGTGTGTGTGTGTGTGTGTGTGTGTGTGTGTGTGTGTCTCAGTAGGCTGATATGTGAGCAGTGTTCAGGCTATTTTTGGTACACACTGACTGCACAGCCTGCCAACAGCCTGCTTCTTGGCAGAGTCGGTTGAAAACAACACTGAAATGACTGTGACACAAATAAAACAAGAAAATGCATTTCCTGCTGAAAATGCGTGTGAATGCTGTAAACTGTGAACATTTGTTGCTGAATTTAGCTGAAAATGCAGAAAAAGCTGAATATGTTATTAGCTGAATGGTAGCTGCTTTTAGCTACAGAGACCAAGTAAGTGTGTTGCTGAACTTAGCGGAGAAATGCAGAAAAGTGAAATGATTTGAATCAAATTGTTACAGCTCAAATGCATTGCAATGACTTTGTTGAAAAGTTGAAAGTGAAATGTTAAACTGGAAGAGTAGGAAAAATAGTGAAGGTTTAAAAAAGGTATAAACAACTAAATGTATAGCCTCAATGTCCTGAAATAGCTGAATAAGTTAATAGTTGAATGGTTTATAGCTGCAAGTAGGCTGAAGGAGTTAGATATTAAATGTAAGTAGTAGTGAATGAATGTGTATTAAGAAGAGAAAAGAAAGTAAAAACGCTTTGAAAAGCATCAGAATATTTTAACTGCAAACTTTTGAACTAAAATCAAACGTCACCAATAATGTATAAAATATGTGGAACGTGTTGAAGTCAGTATGAAGTCTCCATCAGACAGAAAACAATAGGCTGAGACAGTCTGTTAAAGTCCAGTCTGTTTGTCAGTGTTTGAGGTGACTACGTTATGAAACACCCTGAGTTGAAGAAAACACAACCCTCTCTCTTTTCTGAGAGAGCATTCACACTAATCAGTGTGAAGACTGCCAATATGAAGGTAAACCACACAGAAAACACACATGTGAATACATTTTTACAAAATCTTAATTAAGTAAAATTACAAAAGTATTGGCATCAAAATATACTTAAAGTACCAAAAGTACTTGATGCATTAATGTGTTCATCACAGCTAGGTACATGTGGAGCTAATTGTATTACTGTATACTACTAGTGAATATCTTAACCTATAATAATTATATATCATAGTTTATGTATTACTTTATTTATGTTTTGACTTATTTGACTTATTATTTTTGTTAGATTGATGTAGTAAAAAGAGTAAAAAGTCCAATATTTACTTCCAAAATGTAATTTAGTGGAAATATAAAGTAGCATGAAATGGAAATACTCAAGTAAAAGTACCCCCAAATCGTACATAAGTAATACTTGAGTAAATGTACATCACATTACACCACTGGCTGTCACTAATAAACCAATAAGTGGTGAATTAGGTAATTACAGCTAGCTAACGTTAGCAACACACGACATTATGTTATGTTGCGGAGTTCTCCAGAGACCCCTCAGAGTGTCAGTATAAAGGGCCGGCTTACATCGTGGTGGTCCTCCACCACCCACACCGGCAGTTCCGTGTAGAGCCTCTTCAGCGGGAATCGGCTCATCTTCTCCGCTCCGTCAGATAACGGTACACTATCCCTTCACGAGCCGTTAGCTCACTGACCGCACGTTCTCACACACCCTCCGACGCGCACAGTCTGAGCACGTTCCTTCAGACAGAAACAGCAGAAGCATTCACTCGTGCTGTTAATACAGTCATCCACGAGCCTTTTAAACTGGCTGCTCGCATGAGTGAACCACCGGAAATTACACCATGCATTGTTTTCATGTCCGTGTGGAAACACAAATCATGATAAAATAAAGGTTCCTAGTGTGGGGTATTAAAACTGAAGGAAAAGTGTGGAGATACAATTGTAAGTGAATAATTACATTAGATTAATTGTTAAGAAAGCAGAAGTCGTATACAATATGAATCTAAAAAAAATCCCTTTTGTCAATACTATATGTTAGCAGATTTAGACTTATACCTTTTGTCTATCTACAGCAGAAAGGTGACTATTCTCACAGTTCAAGTTTAGCCATTCATTTCCGCGTTGTTCATTCGATGCACACAGGCAGTGGCGGCTCCAGAGTATTTTTGTTGGGTAATCTATGGTAGGGCTAACCCATACAGTGGTGGGGCTCAAGTCAGTATTTGCAATGTAATTACATACACGATATATCGCCCCCCTTGACAGTGAAACGCCACGCGTGAGGTTTAAATTATTTCCCTATCTCAATCAAAATTGAACTGTATGAAATAAAAAGGCACATTTGTCTTGTAGTAAATAAAAAGGGCGACCTAGAGCCAATCCTGCAATTTCCCCACAGGTGAAAGAATTGACACGCTGAAAACCCGACCCTGCAGGGGGGTCTGGGGGGATTCTCCCCCAGGAGATTTTTTGAAATACTAACATAAAATACACATTCTGGTACTCTCTTGAGAAGAAAATAAATACATCTATTACTACACGACATATTTAAAAAAATTAATGCTACATTAATTTTGTGTTTTGTTACTTTGTTCTGAAAGCTGAACCTGCTGCTCCTCACAGAGAAGAGGAAAGAGGAGAGAGGAGAGAGGAAAGAGGAGAGAGGAGAGAGGAGAGAGTGTGTGTGAATTACTTTACTTTGTTCTGAAAGCTGAACCTGCTGCTCCTCAGAGAGAGAAGAGGGAAGAGGCTGTGTGAATTACTTTACATTGTGGATAAGGGTGGATAGCCCCCATTGTTCTGTGTGTCAAAATGAAAGACAGCCCACACACCTATCAATCATCAAACCGTGGGGTCTTATTTCATTACGTGTTGATTTTTATCAACACGTAATGTTGTATCCATGGATATATAAAGAGAAGTTCTCCCGCAAAATGATTCTCCGCCAGGACTTCCTGCAACAACACCACCGCCGTTATCGTGATTCTGATTGGCCAGAAGACATTAGCAAAGATGTTTTATTGTGAAGACGATCACTACGTGACAAAAGTGTTCAAAACCGTTTCTAGTCTTCAGCATTTCCAGACAAGTGGCTACTGAAATCAATCTTACTAGCTGTGCAATTTACTCGGCGCGAGTTGGCGGACTTTTTTTTGTTTATTTTAACATAATTTTTCATGGTGGGGCTAAGCAATTTCATGGTATGGTTGTAGCCTACCCCAGCAATACCCTGAAGCCGCCACTATTTCAAGGATGCTACGTCATCGAGTCCCGCCGAAGGACTGCTCCAATGTCCAGGATCCTTGGAATTCTACCGAGGCCGGTGTCCTTCGTTGCGGGAAATTTCGAGGCTGCACATGTGTGTCCACGGTCTTAAAATCCCCACAATGCTTTGCACACGGACCAATTTCCAAAATCTTTGGCGGAAATCGCGCTCCATTTAAGGCGGGGCCTCGCATATGACGCAAACCTGCACACCTGTTAGCCTGTTCCACCATTCTTCGTTTTCCGAGGCTAGGAAGGATTCTTGCCTCGCTTCTGAAGGACCTGACTCAAAAGACATGTCCTACCAAGGAAGCGTCCTCGACATTGAGAAACACCCTGTGTCTCAATTCAGGGACTGTGTCTCTGAATATCAGTCCCAAACTGGTATTGTCGAGTAGCGGCGCTAACTCACAATAGGCGTCACCATTGAGCTTGTCGTCTTGAGCCCTCTGTGCCGCGGTCAGTTCTCCAGTGGGTGCTCGAAGGATGGTCTCCTTCAATCCCACTCTGTGCATGCAACACAGCATCCTCTCTTCCCAGAGCTCATACTCTTCTGCTTTCCCGTCGAATGTGGGCCATTTGCTCTTCCTTGTGGTTCTAAAACTACCCTTGGATGATGGTAAGGTAGACTAAAAGCTTTAGGAATCCAAAGTGCAACATATAATAAGTACCCTGTATCAAGATTGATGCAAAACAAGTGACATTTGACCTTTTTAGAGAGGTTTAGCAAAAGAAACTCCACCTCTGAGGTGATTTGGGTGGAAATGGGAGTTTTACCTTTCTCTGGAACCCATTGGTCGATTTTGGTGATTGACATCTTTTTCTGACCGTTAGAGCCAATAGAATCGAAGGGGAATCTCCCCTCTCACACACATGGTAAAAAAAAGAGGTGCGGGCTTTGCGCATGCAGTTTTGCATCAGAGCGAACCTATACTCTAGCTCTGACATCTGGAAATGGAAAAGCAGGTTTATTGCTCATGGATTATCAGAAATCATTTCAAAGGGACACAGACACATTGGATTAACCTATGGATTAACTTCAGCAGCGTTTTTATCGTTTTAATGCCATTGAAGACCACCTTTGACCAGACTACGAGATAGGTAAGCCATGTTAGCATTTTTAGCTACCTAGCGCCACATGTTTTGATGTCTGTTTTTGTTTATAAAGACGCAAGTTCGTATCATGGAGTGATAATGTATGCACCCATCGATTCTGTGTCACCTCACGATGTGAAACGATGTCATGGATGTGCAGAAAAGATAAATAATAAGGTTTTGTGAGTGAATTTTGGTGCAGTAATCTGTTAGCATTTTTCGCTCGTTGCTAATTCAGAGGCTCAGCGTTAGCATTGTGGGTTTTATTTTGAAAAAAAAAAAAAAATGATCAGTTAGATGAGTTTCTTCCCGTTACATGGATATAAAACATTCATAGTTTATTAACCTGTTACGCACGGCCCCCCCGGTACCGGGCGGATAAACGCGTCATTTGCAGGAAACAACGTCTAAGGAATCTTAATATTTAATAATCTATGAATGTTTTATATCCATGTAACGGGAAGAAACTCAGCTAACTGATCTTTTTAATTTTTTTTCTCCAAAAAAACCCCACAATGCTAACACTCAGCCTCTGAATTAGCCACGAGCGAAAAAATGTAACCTAAAACGTCACTTAAACTCACAATAACTCTCTTATTACTTATCCTAGATGCACAGCAAACCACTCATTTTGGGTCTCCTGGAGACACAGAATCGTTTGGTGCCCACCTCAACACTCAGTGATAAACATTTGCGACGCTATAAACGAAAGCGTACATCATAACATGTGGAGCTAGGTAGCTAGAAACGCTAACATGGCTTACCTTGGTCAAAACTGGTCTTCAATGGCATTAAAACGATAAAAAAACGATGCTGCAGTTAATCCATAGGTTAATCCAATGTATCTGTGTACTCTTTGAAATTATTTCTGATAATCCATAAGCAATAAAACTGCTTTTTCGTTTCCAAATGCCAGAGCTAGAAATAGGTCCACTCTGCTGCATATTTACATTCGCGCAGCCCCCACCTTTTCTCTTCACAACGTGTGTGTGTGGGGGCCTCCCCCTTCGATTCTATTGGCTCTAACGGTCAGAAAGAGGTGTCAACCATCAAAATTGAGCAAGGGGGGCCAGAGATATGGAAAAAAAAAACATTTTCACCCAAATCACCTCAGAGGTGGGGTGGTTTTGGCTAAACCTCTCTAAAAAGGTCAAATGTCATTTGTTTTGCATCAATCTTGATACAGGGTACTTATTATATGTTGTACTTTGGATTCCTAAAGCTTTTAGTCTACTAACCCATCATCCAAGGGTAGTTTTCACTATCTGTAAAAAATAATATTTGGACGGACACTATAATTTACAGTTTTTTACTATGTAAAATCTGAATTTTCTTTAAAATAAAAAACATCTATATTGATTCTGACACTTCTACATCCAACTCACAGATGTAACCTTGATTTGATAAAAGAAATTATTCATATAATCCTTTTAGAAGTTAACTTGTAGTCATTTGTTTTGGGCATGTCATTTTCGAGCCTGAAACATGAAAAACAGGCTTGGTGCTTAACAGGTTAAATGAACATGCCCTCAGACACTGTTTCCTGCAAGATGTTGCGGGAGTGCCCCGGTACCGGGGTCTCTCAGGCTTAACAGGTTAAGAAGTCAACAAAACAAAAATTCAAACAAATTGAGTTTGGATCAATTCATACAAATGGCCAGGACCGTAGGGGAGAGTGGGGTAAGATAAGCCAGTGGGTAAGTTTTCAACATGTAACGGTTATTTCAAGGCAAATGTATCCAGGTCTGAAAATATGTATCATACATGTTGGTTATATAGCAAGGTGTAAAACCATTTGAATCATTTAGCTAAAGATTAGCATGAAAGACTAAACTAGACTGTTCTGACACCATAGTGTATTGGCACCCCCTAGTGGCAAAAGTCGGTACTGTAGCTTTAAGGCACCAAATAGCGCGACTCTCCTTCTTGTGTTTTAGTTTACACAGCAAAGCCATGCAGAGCACATCGTAGCTCAGTTCTATGCCACAAATCATTTTTGTTTTAATCCTTGGAGTAGATCTGTCTGTAAGTATACAAACTTACCTGTGTGCCAAGTTATGTGTTTCAAAAATGTGGTTTAATTGATTGTGTGGTTTCAATGTTTAAGATAAGCTAAGCTAACTAGCTGCTCAGCTAACGGACATAGCTCATTCTTAGCATAGGCTGTTGATTATACTGCACTCTATTTGCATTATGTTGCACATGTATTATTTCAATTGTGTAACTTGTGTTGTATTTTTCTGTTTATTCTTGCAGTTTTACAATTTCAAGCCTCAGTAAATGGTCAACTCAACAACTGTCTTCTGATTCTTTGTTCGCTATCTGTTAAGCTATGCAGTGCGATGCATACGCAAGGGCAGAATAGTAAAAAGACACTACTCAGCTGGAAAGGCAGCGAAATAATTCTGTGATCAGCACGCTACTACTTCAACCTAAAGACTCATTCATCAGACAGCAGTAAGATGAATGACCAGGAAGAAGAACTCCGGTCTGTGGAGACCAGGTCCCGGGCCTCAAGTCACAGGTCATCAACAAGGTCAAGCAAGTAATCTGCCAGTGCTGCAGCGACAAGGGCAAGAGCTAAAGCCGAAGCAGCAAAAATAAAGGTATCCTTCGCAGAAAGGGAGGCAGCCATGATGAGGCAGAAAGCAGAGGTGGAGGCAAACCTTTATGTTTTGAAGCTGGAAAGTAAAGCTGTGGCCGCATCTAAAGAGGCAGCCATATTTGAAGCAGCTGCAGCAGATTTGGAAGAAGGACATCTTGGTGAGTTACAGGATGTAGCTCAGGAGGATCCAGCAAGACGCACAACAGAATACATTGATAAACATTCATTTTTACAAAACACTCACCAACAGTTTCAAGACGTGGAAACACAGAAACTCACTTCCCACAACAACGGACAGCAGGGCATACATTGGCCACACAAGGGTGCAGATGAGCACAAACCCACTGAGGACCTACACTATGCATCTCATCCTGTCTCTCCAGCATTCGTTCCAAATAACTACTCAGCTCCAACTCCTCATACTCCTGATCTTGCTCAGTATCTCGTGAGAAAAGAGATGGTGAGTTCTGGGCTCCTTGCCTTTGATGATCGTCCAGAAAATTACTGGGCATGGAAATCATCATTCCAAGTAGTTACAAGGGAGCTGTATCTGTCTGACCACGAAGAGCTCAACCTCCTTGTCAAATGGCTTGGACCGGAGTCAGTAGCACATGCAAAGCGGATAAGGTCAGTGCACGTTCATAACCCCACAGCAGGTGTCAATATGATATGGCGGCGCTTATGCGGCTTTCACACCAGCGCTTTTCCCTTTCTAGCTCCGAGCTAGAGCTTTTCTGGTTCAGCTCCGGTTTCCCTTTTCTGCTCCCGCTCTGTTCACACCACTCAAGAGCCGGGATGGTACTGCGTCATTGCCTCATCGTTTGCTTCATGACGTAACCGTTTACATGCCTGCTTCATAAAACCAAACCACGCGGAAATCCCTCACATCGACAACAACAACAATGGCCGATTGTATTGAAGCGCTGTTCGCTTTGGTTATCCTCTTACGAAACGAAATGGAAGGCATGGGACGACTTTACAAGGGACGACTTTACTTGGAACTTTACAAACATCACATGCGAAATGCAAGACTTCTTTGTGGTCTTCAGCATCTACTTCAACGACGATTCCGTAGGAAAAAGAAGGTAAATATACGTCCTATTCGAAGGTCGCATGTTATTTGGACACAGCCCAGATCTTCCGATTGGTGGGACACCATTGCTTCAGACTTCTCCCCTCAGCAATTCATGCAGAATTTCCGCGTGTCCAGGGAGTCCTTTGAGTACATCTGCAACCAGCTCAGCAGCGTTTTGGGGAGAAGAAACACAAATTACCGTCTGTGCATACCCAATAAAAAACGGGTTGCAATTGCCCTCTGGAAGCTGGCCACCGGCGGAGAATACAGGACCATCAGCCATCTTTTCGGGGTAGGCCTAAGCACCGTTTGCGTCTGTGTTCAGGATTTCTGCAGGGCGACCATGGAAGTTCTGCTTCCACTACATATCAAATTCCCTGATGTGGAGAAGTTGGTGGAAATGGCCACTTTTTTCAACAACCGTTGGAGAGCACCACAGTGTGTTGGTGCAATAGATGGAAGCCACATCCCTATTTTAGCACCAGAAAATTATCCCAAGGACTATTATAACAGAAAAGGATGGCATTCTGTTGTTCTACAGGCTGTTGTTGATGGCAGGGGGATGTTCTGGGATGTGTGTGTTGGCGACCCAGGTAGTGTACATGATGCTAGAGTGCTAAAACAATCCAATCTTTGGGTGGCTATCAGTGATGGAGTGTTGCTAGGCCAAAACAAAATGGCCATCTCTGGCTGTGATGTGGGACATTACCTGATTGGTGACCCAGCCTATCCAATGCAAAGATGGCTGATGAAACCATTTTCGGACACCTGAACAGCACACCTACAATCACAGGCTGAGCAGTGCACGGGCAGCTGTTGAGATGGCTTTTGGAAGGCTAAAAGGAAGATGGAGGTGCCTCCTAAAAAGGAACGACAGTGAGCTGGAGCTCACCAAAATAATGACAGTGACTTGCTGTGTACTACACAACATATGTGAGGAACATAGCGACAACTTCACTGAATATTGCCATGAAGTTGTGTACAACCAACCTCCTTTACACCCTTTTCCAGAGAACGGTAGACAAGAAGGAGCTGACGTTAGATCCGCATTGATGGACTATTTCAACATGGGGGACCACTAATATTACTGCAGTTAAACCTGATCTATTTTTTATCATGCCTCTTACAATAAAATCACTGGATCAGACTTGAATTGTGTTTTATTTTGTATACAAATCACAGAATGTAGATAAACAGGTATGAACGATATTCTTATAAAAATAGTGCATACCCAAAAGGTTTAGACCAGGGGTCTCCAACCTTTCTTCATCTGAGAGCTACATTTATTCACATAGCACTCATCGGTTGAATTAAAGTGGACCTATCATGCTATATTTGAATAATATAGTGTAGGACCATACCTATATAAGGCATATTTATACTTTTTTTTTTTCAAAATACCAAACAGATCATGCATTTTAGCCATGCCACATTTTGCTCAATTTGACAATTTCTAGCTCTGTTTTTGCAAGGGCAGATTCTGTGAGAACAGCACCATCTACTGGCCTGGCATATGTACTACAGCGTCTCCAGCGCTTTCGAACGACAATGGCCGTGGCTGTCTCCTCCTGATTGGTGGAGTTGGCCCAATAGCCGTAGCGCCACTGTCCTGACGTTAGGACAGTGTTCAAATCTGGATCAGTTTTTATCAGATCCGTTGTAGCCCCTTTTTTAGAGATTTGGGTATGGAGGAAAATAGAGAGGGTTGTGTTTTCTGACACTTTGTGAGTTCTCTGGAACACCGGGGACACATATTCATGTATAAAAGACGTAAAAAGTGCATTTTGCATGATAGGTCCCCTTTAAGCTACTTTTGTAAACATGTGAAATTGCAATACCCAAAGCTTATCAAAAATCTTAACTTCACATCAAGGTCCAAGAAAACGACAATTTCTCACATATTATTATGGCCCACATACAGTAAGTACATCACTGAAAATTCACATAAATATCCAAGAGAAAAATAAAATGTTAAAGGACATGACTTTTGACTTATGTTTATTTTACATACAAATCAAAGAATGTCTGTACAGACAAGTATGAACAATATTCTTATAAAAATAGTGCATACCCAAAAGGTTTAGACCAGGGGTCTCCAACCTTTCTTCATCTGAGAGCTACATTTATTCACATAGCACTCATCGGTTGAATTAAGCTACTTTTGTAAACGTGTGAAATTGCAATACCCAAAGCTTATCAAAATACAAATAAAATGTGTGTGAGTGTGCAGTCACCTGAGCTGCTGTGCTGTGTGTGCAGATACAGCTGTGCTCAACATTCATCAGGGATTGGTCGCTCTCTCTTTGGATGTGTTATGAACAATTTAGTGCTAACCTCAGCTTTATGTCATTACATTTGTGCTGGGTAAGGGCACAGTACATTTGAGTTTTTTTCCTTCACTTAGATTTATGTCAGTATTTTATATCCTAACTTCTTTCTAAAGATAAATAGGAATAAAATAAATGGTGTGCCTTGCTCCAGCTTGACAATGACACATTTACTGTATTTTCGATAACACAGGTAACGATTTCATTTAGCATCATTTTGTTTAAAGAATGCATGGCAGAATCAGACTTAGCATACGAGTAGTTCATCAGTGTTTAAGTTAAATAACGCTATAGTGTGGCAACACAATGATAATGGTAACATGCTGATGTTTAGCAAGTATAATACTTATCATCTACCACTGTTTTAGTTCAGTGTTTTATCATAGTGACATTAGCTAGTTTGCAGTGGATCACTGAAAAAATTAAATGTAATAAGACATGACTTTTGACTTATGTTTATTGTACATACAAATCAAAGAATGTCTGTACAGACAAGTATGGACAATATTCGTACTGTATATAATATAATAAAGTGTATTTAAAAAAGAATGTATACAAAGTATTCACAAAATAGTGTGGAGAACATACTGTATATACTATAATTAAGTGTATTTAAAAAAGAATGTATACAAAAAGGCATGAACAATTTAGATACAAAAATAAGGTCATTGTTTGCTGTTGGTCTCCATCACCTTCACCATCCTGTCTAACAAGCCAAGCATGTGGCTGTTCTGCTCGGTCTTCTCGATTCTGTTGATTCTGTTCTGCTCGATTCTGCTCTGCTCCGTTATGTTGAAAACCCGTAGGAACTCAGCATTGGTCTCCTGCACCTCCTGAAGCATCGCCCGGCTCTGCTCCAGTAGCTCTTCGTCCCTGGCGTCACTCTTCTCCATTAACAAGACAAGGCCAGATGACGAATCCCGCTTCCTTTTAACTACAAAGGGAAAAATAATAATGAGGTCAACACCGTGTTCATGACATTCTATGAGGTGTAAATTATATACTGTGTAATGAAATGTTTTATTGTTATTATGGCTGCAGTTGCATAACTTGAACAACTACTACAATGACAATGCCATGATAAATGGCAACAGGGAACAGTATTACCATTATGAACACTGTAAACCTTACCCTGTTTGTGTCGGCCCACTGGCTGGGTTAGGGTCACCAGAGATTCCTGGGAAGAGCTGCTTGTGGCAAGAGGAGACCCAAGCATGTGCACGGGCGAGCTACACGCCGACGGTAGTGGTGGTTCCGACACAGTACACTCCAAACGAGATATGCCTGGAAACACAATATAAACACAATGAACAAAAGTAGCCCTTCAACAAATCATACATCGTTAGTGAGAAGAAAGAAGACACATTGGAGGCGTTCACTGTCTTTGCCATGGGGATACCTTTGTTTATTATTGTTAGCATTAGCATGCTAGCGCATGGGTGCCCACCCGGTAGCTGTAGTAGGTAAACTTTAGCTATTATTGCCAGGTCTGTCGATAGCTACATGGTTTAGTTTATGTTGTAAAACAAAAAGTCACAAATAACACAAATCAGTAATGCATAACTCACCAGCATTAAATGACTCGTCCTCCAACCCAATTGACGAGAGAGAAAGCGAATTCACGGTGCATCCCAAACCACTCGTCGGTCTGTCTCCGAGGACCGAGTCTAGCAAGTCAAAATGTGGACTTGTTTTCGTACGACCGCTGCCACTCCGTCCGAGCTCTTTCTTTTGGTCCCGATAATCCTTCTTTATTTTTTTCAATTTGTTGCAAATCTGTAAGATGCTACGGTCATAACCAGTGGTTGCCATCTCTCGTTGCAATTGTTGCAGAATAGCTTTGGACCGCGTGCTCCCCTCCAGCTTCCTCTGTACCTCTTCGGAAGACCAGATTGCCACTAGGTAGCTGGTCTCTTCAGTGGACCACTGCTGCTTATTAAGTTTGAGGTTTTCCATCGTTCAACCTCCTGAACAACAACAAAATGCCTGCGTTTTATCCAGTTTGTACACAACGATGGAAAACCTCAAACTTAATAAGCAGCAGTGGTCCACTGAAGAGACCAGCTACCTAGTGGCAATCTGGTCTTCCGAAGAGGTACAGAGGAAGCTGGAGGGGAGCACGCGGTCCAAAGCTATTCTGCAACAATTGTAACGAGAGATGGCAACCACTGGTTATGACCGTAGCATCTTACAGATTTGCAACAAATTGAAAAAAATAAAGAAGGATTATCGGGACCAAAAGAAAGAGCTCGGACGGAGTGGCAGCGGTCGTACGAAAACAAGTCCACATTTTGACTTGCTAGACTCGGTCCTCGGAGACAGACCGACGAGTGGTTTGGGATGCACCGTGAATTCGCTTTCTCTCTCGTCAATTGGGTTGGAGGACGAGTCATTTAATGCTGGTGAGTTATGCATTACTGATTTGTGTTATTTGTGACTTTTTGTTTTACAACATAAACTAAACCATGTAGCTATCGACAGACCTGGCAATAATAGCTAAAGTTTACCTACTACAGCTACCGGGTGGGCACCCATGCGCTAGCATGCTAATGCTAACAATAATAAATAAAGGTATCCCCATGGCAAAGACAGCGAACGCCTCCAATGTGTCTTCTTTCTTCTCACTAACGATGTATGATTTGTTGAAGGGCTACTTTTGCATTTTGTTGTTGTTCAGGAGGTTGATCCCGCCCATGCCCCTGCCCCCGCCTCGACGTAAGAGAGACGTAAGCGGCCCCGCCTCTTAGCTCCGAAGCTCTTGCTTCTAGACCGACCATTTTTTGGAGCTGGAAGTGAACCGGATTCCGGAGCTAAGAGGCGGCGCCGCTGCGGTGTGAACAGGAAAAAACGGTACTTTTCAGGCTCTAGCTCCGAGCCGGCGCTGAAAACGCGTTGGTGTGAAAGGGGCATTAGAAGAATGTTATGGATGCACAGAGGTGATCGAAAAGGCCCTTCTAAAACGAATAGAGACATTTCCAACCATCTCAAACAAAGACATCCACCAGCTCAGAGAGTTAGGTGACTTGCTACTGGAGATAGATACCGCTAAATCTGGTGGATTCCTGCCTGGCCTAGCATATTTGGACACTGCAAGAGGTGTTAATCCAATAGTGGAAAAGCTTCCTTACAGCCTACGAGAGCGCTGGGTAACGCAAGGCTCCAGGTATAAGGAAGATTATCTTGTGCCTTTCCCACCTTTCAGCTTCTTTGTGAAATTTGTATGTGCCCAGGCAAAGATCAGAAATGATCCAAGTTTTGCATTCAGTCTCTCCTCTTCCCAAGTGACATTAGAGTGGATAGAACACCTAAATACACTCCGAGAACAGCTGTTTCAGTTAGGAAAACTGAAGTGACTGCTTCTGCCTCACAGTCTAGCTCAGCTATCAAGACAGAGGAACCAGACAAACAATGCCCAGTGCATAACAAGCCTCATCCACTGTCAAAATGCCGTTGGTTTCGAGGAAGACACCTTGATGAGAGAATAACCTATTTAAAGGAGAAATCCATCTGCTTTCGATGTTGTGAATCCACAAAGCATATTGCCAAAGATTGCGAGGCAACACTTAAATGCAAGGAGTGTGAAAGTGACAAACACACCTCAGCCATGCATCCTGGTCCAGCTCCTTGGTCGTTTGGTATGTTCAGACCTGAGAATGAGCAAAGCGGCGAGTCTGGAGGACAAAGGCCACCTGAAGTAACTTCCATGTGTACAGAAATCTGCTGTGGTGCTTCCAAGCCCAGATCGTGCTCGAAAATCTGCTTGGTGAATGTATACCAGGCTGATTATCCCAACAAGTCACACAGAGTGTATGCATTGATGGATGATCAAAGTAATCGGTCGTTAGCAAAATCACAATTCTTCGATCTGTTTGGCTTGAATGGCAATGCATCTCCCTATACTCTAACAACATGCTCAGGCAAAGTAGAGACAGCAGGAAGAAAAGCATGCAACATTATAGTGGAGTCACTTGATGGGAAAACTAAAGCAGCACTCCCTCCTCTGTTGGAATGTAACAACTTGCCTGACGACAGGTCAGAGATTCCCACTCCGGAGATCACACAGTATTTTCCACACCTCAGGCAAGTGACTGACAAGATTCCTCCCCTCGACACCAATGCTCCTATTCTCCTTCTGCTCGGAAGAGACATTCTGCGTCTACATAAGGTGCGTGAACAGTGTAACGGGCCTCAGGACTCACCCTACGCCCAGCGCCTTGACCTTGGCTGGGTCATAGTTGGAGAAATATGCCTGGATGGGACTCACAATTCAAACAATGTCAACGTCTACAAGACCCATGTCCTTCAAAATGGACGCCCATCCTTTCTTAAGCCGTGCACGAACAGCATTCAGGTGAAGGAGAGGTTAAATGGTCCAGCCAAGCATCATCTTCCAGCCCCATCTCACAGCCTGGAAAACGTCCTTAATGGAAGTTTAGATTGTATAGGAGAAAGTGTGTTTCGAAAAACACCTGATGACGACAAACCAGCCCTGTCTGTGGATGACAAGGTCTTTCTCCGAACCATGGAAAACGAGGTGTATATGGATGATGAAAACCACTGGGTGGCACCACTGCCCTTTCGCTTCCCCCGCAAACCCCTTCCTAATAACAGGGAACGCCTTGCAGCGTCTCTCCTCTCTCCAACGCTCATTCAGAAGGAGACCAGACACAGAGTAAGAAAATAAGACTGAATCATTTGAACCTGTGCAACCAGAGACTGATAAAGAAATGTATCCTCAAGTTATCTCTCTTGCAACCAAGGTCACAGAGCAGAGTCTCGGATCACAACGGTTCAAACATTTCTCTACTTGGAAGGCTCTTGTAAGAGGTATGGCAACGCTCATTCATGTAGCCAAGTCCTATTCCAGCAAGTCTCACACTGTAGAGTGCAATGGATGGCATCACTGCAAACAGTCACACACCTCAGAGCTCTCTCAGGCCAAAACAGTCATCTTGAAGGCAGTGCAGCAGGATGTTTACAAGAACGAGGTGGACTGCGCAACTCAGGGCATTAATGTTCATAGCCACAGCTCTCTTGTGAAACTGGACCCATTTCTTGACAAGGATGGATTGCTGAGAGTTGAGGGTCGCATCCATAAAGCCCAATTGGAAAACCAAGAGAAACATCCACTCATCCTGTCAGCCAGCCATCATGTTACCACTCTCTTAGTCCGACACTATCATGATCAAGCAGCTCACCAAGGTCGCCATTTAACAGAGGACACACTGCGCACTGCCGGTGTCTGGATAGTAGGAGGGAAGAGGCTCATTTTGAGTATAATATTCAAATGTGTCATCTGCAGGAAGTTGAGAGGCAAGTTTGAGGTTCAGAAAATGTCCGATCTGCCTGCTGACAGATGGATCCACCTTTTACACATGTAGGGCTTGATGTCTTTGGTCCATGGAGTGTGATAACTCGTCGCACAAGAGGTGGTGCTGCTGAGAGTAAAAGATAGGCAGTCATTTTCACATGTCTCAGTACGAGAGCTGTTCACTTGGAGGTTATTGAAACCATGTCCACCTCAAGTTTCATTAATGCCTTGAGGCGCTTCCTGTCGATTCGTGGACCTGTCAAACACCTCAGGTCAGAGGCACAAACTATATTCGAGCATGCAGAGAGCTTCAGATAAACACGGACGATCCTGAGATCAAGGACTATCTGCAAGACCATGGTTGTACATGGATATTTAATGCACCTCATTCCTCACATATGGGTGGAGCTTGGGAGAGGATGATTGGTGTGGCTCGACGGGTCCTTGATGCACTGCTGTTGAAGAATAAGGATAAACTGACCCATGAAGTCCTGGCCACTTTGATGGCTGAAGTTATGGCCATCATGAACGCCAGGCCTCTGGTTCCCATCTCTTATGATACAGACCTTCCTGAGATACTCTCACCTGCTACTCTTCTAACCCAGAAGGCGAGTATGACACCCACACCCCGGGGGACTTTGAACCGGATCACCTATGTAAGGTACCGTGGCGCCAGGTCTAGAGCTTGGCGAACTCCTTCTGGAAACGGTGGAAGCAGGAGTATCTGGCAACTCTTCAGCCTCGGAGGAAGTGGACCGAGGAGCAGCCTAATCTCCAGGACGGTGACGTTGTTTTGTTAAAGGACGTTCAAGCACAACGTAATGACTGGCCTCTTGGTCTGATAGTAAAGGCCATTCCAAGTTCGGACTGCAAGGTGCGAAAGGTCATGGTGAAGACATTAGGTCAAGGGACAGCTAAAGAGTACCTTAGGCCCATCAGCGATGTGGTGTTACTGATACCAAGGGTAAAGAGATGTAAATAGTGGTAAACAGGTTTACCAAGCGGGGAGTGTTCTGACACCATAGTGTATTGGCACCCCCTAGTGGCAAAAGTCGGTACTGTAGCTTTAAGGCACCAAATAGCGCAACTCTCCTTCTTGTGTTTTAGTTTACACAGCAAAGCCATGCAGAGCACATCGTAGCTCAGTTCTATGCCACAGATAATTTTGTTTTAATCCTTGGAGTAGATCTGTCTGTAAGTATACAAACTTACCTGTGTGCCAAGTTATGTGTTTCAAAAATGTGGTTTAATTGATTGTGTGGGTTCAATGTTTAAGATAAGCTAAGTTAACTAGATGCTAAGCTAACGGACATAGCTCATTCTTAGCATAGGCTGTTGATTATACTGCATTCTATTTGCATTATGTTGCACATGTATTATTTCAATTGTGTAACTTGTGTTGTATTTTTCTGTTTATTCAAGCCTCAGTAAATGGTCAACTCAACAACTGTCTTCTGAGTCTTTGTTCGCTATCTGTTAAGCTATGCAGTGCGATGCATACGCAAGGGCAGAATACAGACCATTTAAAAAAGAAAAGTGGCTGTGGGGCAAAGTGAGCCACATGCTGTGGGGTAAATTGAGCCAGTGATTCAACTTAACCTCCCATGAGGCACTGAAGTTAAGTTAAGTCAAGTCTCTCTAGTAG